TCCTAAAAACATCCCAAAAATATCCTAAATACAGCCCAAAACCATCCCAAAAATATCCCAAAAATACCCTAAAAATATCCCAAACACAGCGCAGAACCGGGCGGCCTGGGCACGGGGGAGAACCACCAGGAGCCCTCCTGGGAATGGATGGGAGAGTTAACCCAAAAACATCCTAAATACACCCCAAAAATACCCTAAATACACTGCAAAAATATCCTAAATACAGCCCAAACACAGCCCAGAACCGGGCAGCCTGGGCACGGGGGAGCACAACCAGGAGCCCTCCTGAGGGAATAGATGAGAGAGTTACCCTAAAAAACACCCCAAAAATATCCTAAACACACCCTAAAACCAGCCCAAACACAGCGCAGAACCGGGTGGCCTGGGTGCGGGGGAGAACCACCAGGAGCCCTCCTGAGGAAATGGATGGGAGAATTAGCTCAAAAATATCTTAAACACAGCCCAAAACCATCCCAAAAATATCCCAAACACAGCCCAGAACCGGGCGGCCTGGGCGCGGGGGGAGCACAACCAGGAGCCCTCCTGGGGGAATGGATGGGAGAATTAGCCCAAAACCAGCCCAAAAATATCCTAAATACAGCCCAAAAATATCCTAAACACAGCCCAGAACCGGGCGGGCCTGGGCGCGGGGGGGAGAACAACCAGGAGCCCTCCTGAGGGAATAGATGGGAGAATTACCCCAAAAATACCCCAAAAATACCCCAAAAATACCCTAAACACAGCCCAAAAATATCCCAAACACAGCCCAGAACCGGGCGGGCCTGGGCACGGGGCAGAACCACCAGGAGCCCTCCTGGGAATGGATGGGAATGTCACCCAAAAAACATCCTAAATACACCCCAAAAACATCCTAAATACACCCCAAAAATATCCTAAATACAGCCCAAAAATATCCCAAACACAGCGCAGAACCGGGCGGCACTGGGCACGGGGCAGAACCCACCAGGAGCCCTCCTGAGGGAATGGATGGGAGAATTACACCAAAAAATATCCTAAATACATCCCAAAAATATCCCAAACACAGCCCAGAAACTCGGGCGGCCTGGGCGCAGGGGAGAACCACCAGGAGCCCTCCTGGGAATGGATGGGAGAATAACCCCAAAAATATCCTAAATACATCCCAAAAATACCCTAAATACAGCCCAAACACAGCCCAGAACCGGGCGGCCCTGGGCACGGGGGAGAACCACCAGGAGCCCTCCTGGGAATAGATGGGAGAATTAGCCCAAAAAACAGCCCAAAAATATCCTAAATACAGCCCAAAAATACCCTAAAAATATCCCAAACACAGCCCAGAACCGGGCGGCTCTGGGCGCGGGGGGAGCACCACCAGGAGCCCCTCCTGGGAATGGATGGGAGACTTACCCCAAAAACATCCCAAATACACCCCAAAAACATCCTAAATACACCGCAAAAATATCCCAAAAATATCCCAAAAACTCCCCAAAAATATCCCAAACACAGCCCAAAAACATCCCAAAAACATCCTAAACACACCCCAAAAATATCCTAAACACAGCCCAAAAACATCCCAAAAATATCCCAAAAACATCCTAAATACACCCCAAATACACCCCAAAAATATCCTAAACACAGCCCAAAAATACCCCAAAAATATCCTAAAAATATCCCAAACACAGCCCAGAACCGGGCGGGCCTGGGCACGGGGGGAGAACCACCAGGAGCCCTCCTGAGGGAATGGATGGGAATGTCACCCAAAAAATATCCCAAAAATATCCTAAAAACATCCCAAAAATATCCTAAATACACCCCAAAACCATCCCAAAAATACCCTAAAAACATCCCAAGCACCGCCCAGAACCGGGCGGCCTGGGCGCGGGGCAGCACAACCAGGAGCCCCCCAAAGGGAACAGGGGGAGGGTCACCCCCAAAACCACCCCAAAAAACAGCCCAAAAACATCCTAAACACAGCCCAAAAACACCCCCAAATACACTGAAACACCAAAGACCACCCCAGAACACCCCATAAATACCCTGAGACACCCCATAAATACCCCATAAATGCCCTGCACCCCACCCCAAAAACACTCCAGGATCACCTGCACCCACCCCATAACACCCCAAACCTGCAGGCGCCCGACCCCATTTATGGGGCTGCCCTGGCCGTGCCCTGCAGCAGCGCCCTCAATCCCATTCCAGTGTCCCCAATCCCATTCCTGTGCCCCAGTCCCCATTCCAGTGCCCCCAATCCCATTTTTGGGGTTCCCAATCCCATTTTTGGGGTCCCCAGTCCCGTACCCGATGTCTCCGGGGCCGTGCCCTGCAGCAGCGCCCCAAACCCATTCCCAGTGCCCCAATCCCATTCCCAGTGCCCCCCAATCCCATTTTTTGGTGTCCCCAGTCCCATTCCCAGTGTCCCCAGTGCCATTTTTAGGATTCCCAGTCCCATTCCCAGTGTCCCCAATCCCATTTTTGGGGTTCCCAGTCCCGTTTTTGGGGTTCCCAGTCCCGTTTTTGGTGTCCCCCAATCCCATTTTTGGGGGTCCCCAATCCCGTTTTTGGGGTCCCCAATCCCGTTTCAGGTGTCCCCAGTCCCATACCCGATGTCTCCGGGGCCGTGCCCTGCAGCAGCGCCCCAATCCCATTCCCGGTGTCCCCATTCCCAGTGTCCCCAATCCCATTCCCGGTGTCCCCAATCCCATTCCCGGTGTCCCCCAGTCCCGTACCCGAGGTCTCCGGGGGCCGTGCCCTGCAGCAGCGCCCCAATCCCATTCCCGGTGTCCCCAATCCCGTTTTTGGGGTCCCCAATCCCATTTTTAGGATTCCCAATCCCATTTTTGGTGTCCCCCAATCCCGTACCCGATGTCTCCGGGGCCGTGCCCTGCAGCAGCGCCCCAATCCCATTCCCAGTGTCCCCATTCCAATGTCCCCAATCCCATTCCCAGTGTCCCCAATCCCATTCCCCGGTGTCCCCAGTCCCATTTTGGGGCCGTACCCGATGTCTCCGGGGCCGTGCCCCTGCAGCAGCGCCCCCAATCCCATTCCCAGTGTCCCCAATCCCATTCCCGGTGTCCCCCAATCCCGTTTTTGGTGTCCCCAATCCATTTTTAGGATTCCCAATCCCGTTTTAGGTGTCCCCAATCCCATACCCGATGTCTCCGGGGCCGTGCCCCTGCAGCAGCGCCCCCCGGCCCCCGGCAGCGCGGCTCACGGCCGCCATGCAGGGCGATGATGGGCAGGGTTGTGGATGACGAAGGCCACGTCCAGCGCGCTGCTGCTCCGCCAGCGCCCGCGCGTGCCCCAGCACCCCGAAACCTGTCACGTCTGTGGCTGCGTGCGCCCCGAAGGCGCGCATCAGACCCGCAGCTGGGGACAGGGACAGGGTTAGGGACAGGGTTAGGGACAGGGACAGGGACAGGGACAGGGACAGCATCAGCCCCGCAGCTGGGGGACAGGGACAGGGACACGGTTAGGGACAGGGACAAGGACAGGGACAGCATCAGCCCCGCAGCTGGACAGGGACAGGGACACGGTTAGGGACAGGGACAGGGACAGGGACAGGGACAGGGACAGGGACAGCATCAGCCCCCGCAGCTGGGGACAGGGACAGGGACACGGTTAGGGACAGGGACAGCTCAGGGACAGGGACAGGGACAGGGACAGCATCAGCCCCCGCAGCTGGGGACAGGGAGGGGACAGGGACAGCTCAGGACAGGGACATGGTTAGGGACAAGGACAGGGACAGGGACAGGGACAGGGACAGCATCAGCCCTGCAGCTGGGGACAGGGACAGGGACAGCTCAGGGACAGGGACAGCTCAGGGACAGGGACAGGGACTGGGACAGGGACAGGGACAGCTCAGGGACAGGGACAGGGACTGGGACAGGGACAGGGTTAGGGACAGGGACAGGGACAGGGGACAGGGACAGGGACAGCTCAGGGGACAGGGACAGGGACAGGGTTAGGGACAGCTCAGGGGACAGGCGACAGGGGACAGGGACAGGAGGGGGTCAGCAGGGACAGGGACTGTCATAGCTCAAGGGACAGGAACAGGATGGCTCAGGGGTCAGGGGACAGGGACAGGATGGCTCAGGGGACAGGGACAGCCCTGCCATTGGGGGACAGGGACTGGCACAGCTCAAGGGACAGGGACAGGATGGCTCGGGGGACAGGGACAGCCCTGCCACTGGGGACAGGGATGGGACAGCTCAGGGGACAGGGACAGGAACAGGATGGCTCAGGGGACAGGGACAGGGACAGGATGGGCTCAGGGGACAGGGACAGCCCTGCCGCTGGGGACAGGGATGGGGACAGCTCAGGGGACAGGGACAGCCCAGGGGGAGCAGTGGTCACCTCAGAAGGGGGCACAGGGTCACCTCCCACGGATTCCCCTGGGTGTGGGGACACCACAGGGTGGCTTTGGAGACACCCGGCCTGGCCTAGGGACACCCTGCAGTGGCTCTAGGGAACGCCCCAGTGGCTTTGTGTCCCCAGGAGTGGCTTTGGGTGCCCTGGGGTGGCTCTGGGGACATCTGGGGTGGCTCTAGAATCCCTGGGGTGGCTTTGGGGGACATCTGAAGGGGCTCTGGGGACATCTGGAGTGGCTTTGGGTGCCCTGGGGTGGCTCTGGGGACATCTGAAGGGGCTTTGGGCATGTTTGGGGGAGCTTGGGCATCCCTGCAGTGGCTCTGGGGACATCTGGGGGTGGCTCTGGGGACATCTGGGGTGCCTTTAGGGACCCCCCTGATGACTTTGGGGCCATCCTGGGATGACTCTGGGGGACCCCCCTGGTGGCTTTGGGAGCCCCCCTGGGGTATCCCTTGTCCCCACTGTCCCCCAAGGGTGTCCCCAAGGGTGTCCCCCAGTGTCCCCCAGTGTCTCCTGGTGTGTCCCCCAGTGTCCCCCAGGGTGTCCCCCAGTGTTGTCCCCGGTGTCCCCCCAGGGTGTCCCCAGTGTTGTCCCCAGTATCCCCCCAGTGTCCCCTGGGGTGTCCCCAGTGTCCCCCAGTGGTGTCCCCAGTGTTGTCCCCAGTGTTGTCCCCAATGTCCCCCAGTGTTGTCCCCAGTATCCCCAGTGTCCCTTGGGGTGTCCCCCAGGGTGTCCCCAGTGTTCCCTCGGGTGTCCCCCAGTGTCCCTCAGTGTCGTCCCCAGGGTGTCCCCAGTGTGTCCCCGTATTGTCCCCAATGGTGTCCCCAGTGGTGTCCCCAGTGTTTCCCCCAGTCTGTCCCCAGTGTTGTCCCCCAGTGTCCCCAAGGGGTGTCCCCAGTGTCCCCAGTGTCCCTCAGGGTGTCCCCCAGTGTTGTCCCCAGTGTCCCCAGTGTCCCTCAGGGTGTCCCCAGTGTTGTCCCCAGTGTTGTCCCCCGGTGTCCCCAGTGTGTCCCCAGTGTCCCCAGTGGTGTCCCCCAGTGTGTCCCCCGGTGTCCCCCAGTGGTGTCCCCAGTGTGTCCCCAGTGTCCCCAGTGTGTCCCCGGTGTCCCCAGGGTGTCCCCAGTGGTGTTCCCAGTGTCCCCCAGGGTGTCCCCAGTGGTGTCCCCGGTGTCCCTCAGGGTGTCCCCAGTGTTGTCCCCAGTGTCCCCAGTGGTGTCCCCGGTGTCCCCAGTGGTGTCCCCAGTGTTGTCCCCAGTGTTGTCCCCAGTGTTGTCCCCGGTGTCCCCAGTGTGTCCCCCGGTGTCCCCAGGGTGTCCCCAGTGTGTCCCCAGTGTCCCTCAGGGGTGTCCCCAGTGTTGTCCCCCGGTGTCCCCCAGTGGTGTTCCCAGTGTCCCCCAGTGTTGTCCCCAGTGTGTCCCCGGTGTCCCCGGTGTCCCTCACCGGTGCGGTTCAGGGTGGCCATGCTGGCCACAGCCCTCCTGGTACGCCAGCTCCACCTCCTCACGCGTTCACCACCAGCTTGATCTTGTTCCAGCGCTCGGGCTGTGGGGACAGCGGGGACAGTGTGGGGACAGTGGGGACAGCGTGGGGGACAGTGGGGACAGCGTGGGGACAGTGTGGGGACAGTGCCAGGGACAGTGGGGACAGCGTGGGGACACCATGGGGACAGTGCCAGGGACAGTGGGGACAGCGTGGGGACAGTGGGGACAGCGTGGGGACAGTGTGGGGACAGTGCCAGGGACAGTGGGGACAGCGTGGGGACACCATGGGGACAGTGCCAGGGACAGTGGGGACAGCGTGGGGACAGTGGGGACAGCGTGGGGGGACAGTGTGGGGACAGTGCCAGGGACAGTGGGGGACAGCGGGGACAGTGTGGGGACAGGGTCAGGGACAGCATGGGGGACAGTGGGGACACCATGGGGACAGCGTGGGGACAGCGTGGGGACAGTGCCAGGGGACAGGGTCAGGACAGCAGGGACAGTGTGGGGACAATGCCAGGGACACCCCAGTGGGGACAGCCTGGGGACAGGGTCAGGGGACAGCAGGGACAGAGGGGGACACCATGGGGACAGCATTAGGGACACAGAGGGGACAAGAGACAGGGTCAGGGACACTGCGGGGACAGGGTCAGAGACAGTGGGGACAGCAGGGACAGGGTCAGGGACACCATGGGGACAGCGTCAGGGACAGCAGGGACACTATGGGGACAGTGTCAGGAGCAGTAGGGGACAGGGTCAGGGACATTGAGGGTACACCCTGGGGACAGGGTCAGGAACAGCAGGGACAGGGTCAGGGACACTGTGGGGACACCCTGGGGACACCCTGGGGACACCCTGGGGACAGCCCCGCGGTGCTCAGGGCCCCTGTGGGGACACCAGGGGTGGCTCAGGGACTGCCAGGGGGGGCTCCATCCCTTCAGGGACATCGGGGGTGGGCTTTGGAGTGCCCTGGGGGACACCTCAGGGGGGTCTCCAGTCCCATTGTGGCTCCTCCTGGGGACACCTGGGTGTGTGCAGACCCGTCTGAGGTGGCCCTGGGGACACAGGGCTGGCTCTGTCCCACCCGGTGTCACTCACCATGTCCAGCCACTGGTGGGGCGGTGACAGCCATGTGTGTCCCCAAGGGCTTGGTCAGCACCCAGCACGTCCCCAGGCACGGCACTGTCCGGCCTGGGGCGGGGCTGGCGTCAGCGTGGGACACGCCCTGGGCCTGCCCCCGTGTCCCCAAACCCCGCCCACCCATGTCCATAAACCCCACCCATGTTTGTAAGCCCCGCCCCCTTCCCCAAACCCCCACCCCCATGTCCCCCAAACCCTGCCCCCATGTCCCCAAACCCCGCCCCCATGTCCCCACCACACCAATGATTGACAGGTATCAGTGGCCCCGCCCACCACATCAATGATTGACAGGTATCAGTGGCCCCACCCCACCACACCAATGATTGACAGGAGGCATTGGCCCCACCCACCACACAATGATTGACAGGAAAGAATGGCCCCTCCCACCCCCACCAAGATTGACATGTGGCAGTGGCCCCTCCCACCACACCATGATTGACAGGCAGAAGTGGCCACACCCACCACACCAATGATTGACAGGAGAGAGTGGCCCCTCCCACCAACACCATGATTGACATGTGGCAGTGGCCCCTCCCACCACACCATGATTGACAGGCAGAAGTGGCCACACACCCACCACACCAATGATTGACAGGAGTGGCCCCTCCACCACACTATGATTGACATGTGGCAGTGCCCCCGCCCACCACACCATGATTGACAGGCAGAAGTGGCCACACCCACCACACCCATGATTGACAGGAAACAGTGGTTCCCACCCACCACACTATGATTGACATGTGGCAGTGTCCCCGCCCACCACACCATGATTGACAGACCATGGTCCCACCCACCCCACCCATGATTGACAGGCCACGGCCCCGCCCCCGGCTCACATGATGAACTCGCTGGATTGGCAGACGGCGGTGGCCACGCCCCCCCACGATGACCCAGGGGTTCAGCACCGTCTGTCCCCCGGTCACCGACGTCCCCCCCGTCCCTCGGCCGCGTCCCGGAAGCCCTGGATGATCAGCGGCATCACCTTGTCCCTCTCCTGGGGGGACACGGGCGAGAGGCACTGTCACACCCTGGGTCACTGTCACACCCTGGGTCACTGTCACAACCACAGTGTCACTGTCACACCCTGGGTCACTGTCACCACCACAGTGTCCCCTGACACCACCCACAGTGTCACTGTCACCCTGGGTCACTGTCACCCCCTGTGTGCCCTGCCACCACCCACAGTGTCACTGTCACCCCCTGGGTCACTGTCACCCCCGGTCACTGTCACCCTGGGCCACTGTCCACCCCCCTGGGTCACTGTCACAACCACAGTGTCCCCTGACACCACCCACAGTGTCACTGTCACCCCCTGGGTCACTGTCACCACCCACAGTGTCACTGTCACCCCCTGGGTCACTGTCACAACCACAGTGTCCCCTGACACCACCCACAGTGTCACTGTCACCCTGGTCACTGTCACCCACCCAGTCACTGTCACCCTGGGCCACTGTCACCCTGGGTCACTGTCACACCCTGGGTCACTGTCACCCCCGAGTCACTGTCACAACCACAAGTGTCCCCTGACACCACCCACAATGTCACTGTCACCCCCAGTCACTGTCACCCCCGGGTCACTGTCACCCCAGTCACTGTCACCCCCGGTCACTGCCACCCCCCTGGGCCACTGTCACCCCCCTGTGTGCCCTGCCACCACCCACAGTGTCACTGTCACTCCCTGGGTCACTGTCACAACCACAGTGTCCCCTGACACCAACCACAGTGTCACTGTCACCACGGTCACTGTCACCCCCTGTGTGCCCTGAAACCACCCCAGTCACTGTCACCCTGGGTCACTGTCACCCCCCCCGGTCACTGCCACCCCCAGTCACTGTCACCCTGGGTCACTGTCACCACCGGTCACTGTCCACCACGGTCCACTGTCAGCCCCTGTGTGCCCTGAAACCACCCCCGGTCACTGTCACCCCCCTGTGTGCCCTGACACCACCCACAGTGTCACTGTCACCCCAGTCACTGTCACCCCGGGTCACTGCCACCCCCCTGGGTCACTGTCACCCCCTGTGTGCCCTGAAACCACCCCGGTCACTGTCACCCCAGTCACTGTCACCCTGGGCCACTGTCACCCTGGGTCACTGTCACCCCCTGGGTCACTGTCACAACCCCCAGTGTCCCCTGAAACCACCCCTGGTCACTGTCACCCCCTGTGTGTCCCCTGAACCCCCCCTGGGTCACTGCCAACCCCAGGTGACTGTCACCCACCTGTGTCCCTGTCAACCCCCCACTGTCCCCTGTCATCCTCTCAGTGTCCTTGTCACCCTGTGTCCCCTGTCACCCCTCCATGTCCCTGTGTCCCTGTTCCCCCCTCGCTCAGCAGCACCAGGACATTGTCACACCCCCCAGTGTCCCTGTGTCCCCCCCCATGTCCCCATGTCCCCTCCTGTCCCCGTCACCTCGTCGCTCATTGCGCTGGCTGACGCTCAGCAGCACCAGGACATTGTCACCCCCAGGCTGTGTCCCTGTGTCCCCCCCGTGTCCCCCTGTCCCTGTCCCCCTCCTCGCTCAGCAGCATCAGGACATTGTCACACTCTGTCACCCCCCAGGCTGTGTCCCTGTGTCCCCCCATGTCCCTGTGTCCCCCCCATGTCCCTGTGTCCCCCGTGTCCCCCTGTGGCTGTCACCTCGTCGCTCATGCGCTGGCTGACGCTCAGCAGCATCAGGACATTGTCACACCCAGGCTGTGTCCCTCCTGTGTCCCCCCATGTCCCTGTGTCCCCCCTGTGTCCCCATGGCTGTCACCTCGTCGCTCATTGCGCTGGCTGACGCTCAGCAGCATCATGGACATTGTCACACTCTGTCACCCCCATGTCCCCATGTCCCCATGGGCTGTCACCTCGTTCGCTCATGCCGCTGGCTGACGCTCAGCAGCATCAGGACATTGTCACACTCTGTCACCACCCATGTCCCCATGTCCCCATGGCTGTCACCTCGTCGCTCATGCGCTGGCTGACGCTCAGCAGCACCAGGACATTGTCACACTCTGTCACCCCCCAGGCTGTGTCCCTGTGTCCCCCCCATGTCCCCCCATGTCCCCATGTCCCTGTCACCATCGTCGCTCATCGCGCTGGCTGACGCTCAGCAGCATCAGGACATTGTCACACTCTGTCACCCCCCATGGCGTACAGGTCACTCAGCACGTTGGCACAGGCGATGCGGCCCTGCAGGGGACAGGGGGCTGGGGGCTCCAGGACAGCACTGGGGGGGCCCAAAATGGGATTGGGGGGGGTTCAGGACAGGACTGGGGGGCCCAGAATGGGATTTGGAGGGGTCCAGGACAGGACTGGGGGGCCCAAAATGGGACTGGGGGGTCCAGGACAGGACTGGGGAGCCCTGATGGTGTTTGGGGGATCCAGGACAGGACTGGGGGCTCAAAAGAGGGGTTGGGGGGCCCAGGTGGGATTTGGGGGGGTCCAGGACAGGAATGGGGGACCCAGAATGGGATTGGGGGGGGCCCAAAATGGGATTGGGGGGCCCAGGACAGGATTGGGGGGCCCAAAATGGGATTTGGGGGGCCCAAAATGGGATTGGGGGGCCCAGGACAGGATTGGGGGGCCCAAAATCGGATTTGGGGGGCCCAAAATGGGATTGGGGGGATCAGGGATGGGATTGGAGGCCCAAAATGGGATTGGGGAGTCCAAAATAGGATTGGGGGGGTCCAGGACAGGATTAGGGGCCCAAAATGGGATTGGGGAGCCAAAATGGGATTGGGTGAGGACCCAAAATGGGATTTGGAGGGCTCCAGGACAGGACTGGGGGGCCCAAAATGGGATTTGGGGGGGCCCAAAATGGGATTGGGGGGATCAGGGATGGGATTGGGAGCCCAAAATGGGATTGAGGGGGACTCAAAATGGGATTGGGGGGGGGCAGAATGGGATTTGAGGATCCTGGTGGTGTTTGGGGGAGATGGGGACAGGACTGGGGGGCCCAAAATGGGATTGGGGAGGACCCAAAATGGGATTGGGGGGGGCCCAAAATGGGATTGGGGGAGTCCAAAATGGGATTGGGGGGGGTCTAGGATAGGATTGGGGGGGGCTGAAAATGGGATTGGGGCACCCAAAAATGGGATTGGGGAGGACCCAAAATGGGATTTGGAGGGGTCCAGGACAGGACTGGGGGGCCCAAAATGGGATTTGGGGGATCAGGGATGGGACTGGGGAGCCCAAAATGGGGTTGGGGCACCCAAAATGGGATTGGGGGGCCTAAAATGGGATTGGGGGGGCCAGAATGGGATTTAGGGGGGTCCAAAATGGTATTGGGGGGGTCCAGGACAGGACTGGGGGGCCCTGATGGTGTTTGGGGGGGGTCCAGGACAGGAATGGGGGCCCAGAATGGGATTGGGGCGAGCCCAAAATGGGATTGGGGGAGCCTAAAATGGGATTGGGTGGGGTGGTCTAGGACAGGACTGGGGGCCAAAATGGTGATTGGGGGCACCCAAAATGGGATTGGGGGAGCCCAAAATGGGATTGGGGGGCCCCAGGACAGGATTGGGGGGCCCAAAATGGGATTTGGAGGGGTCCAGGACAGGACTGGGGGGGCCCAAAATGGGGTTTGGGGGATCAGGGATGGGACTGGGGAGCCCAAAATGGGGTTGGGGCACCCAAAATGGGATTGGGGGGCCTAAAATGGGATTGGGGGGGCCAGAATGGGATTTAGGGGGGTCCAAAATGGGACTGGGGGGAGCCCAAAATGGGATTGGGGGGGGTCCAAGGTGGAGTTTGGGGGGGGTCTAGGACAGGATTGGGGGCCCAAAATGGGATTGGGGCACCCAAAATGGGATTGGGGCACCCAAAATGGGATTTGGGGGGCCCAAAAATGGGATTGGGGGGGTCCAAGGTGGAGTTTGGGGGCCTTGGGATCAAATCTGTGGGGGGTGTGAAAGGGATTTGGGGGCCCTGGGGGGGGATTTGGGGGTGCCCAGGGTAGGACTGGGGGGGTTCTGGGTGGATTTGGGGGTGCCCAAGATGGGACTGGGGGGGTTCTGAGTGGATTTGGGGTGCCCAAGATGGGACTGGGGGGTTCTGAGTGGATTTGGGGTGGCCAAGATGGGACTAGGGGGGGTCCCCAGGGTGGGATTTGGGGTTTCCCAAGGGTCCTGATGAGGGCTGGGGGATCCCTGGGGCTGATTTTGGGGTGCAGGAGGGGTTTATGGGGTCCCAGGGATGTTTTGGGGTGCAGGGGGCATTTCTGGGGTGTTTTTGGGGGTGCAGGGAGCATTTCTGGGGTCCCAGAAAGGTTTTTGGGGTCCCAGGGGTATCTCTGAGGGTTTTTTCGGGTCCCATAGGGTATTTCTGGGGGTTTTTGGGGTCCCATGGGTATCTCTGAGGGTTTTTTGTGGGTCCCAGGGGGTATTTCTGGGGGTTTTTGGGGGTCCCAGGGGGTATCTCTGAGGGCTTTTGGGGGTCCCAGGGGGTATCTCTGGGGTCCCAGGGGTATCTCTGGGTGTTTTTGGGGTCCCAGGGGTATCTCTGGGGTTTTTGGGGGTCCCAGGGGTATCTCTGGGTGTTTTTTGGGGTATCTCTGGGTGTTTTTGGGGTCCCAGGGGTATCTCTGGGGTCCCAGGGGGTATCTCTGGGGTTTATGGGGTCCCAGGGGGTATCTTCTGGGGGTTTTTGGGGGGTCCCATGGGTATCTCTGGGGTTTTTGGGGGTCCCAGGGGTATCTCTGGGTGTTTCTGGGGGTCCCAGAGGGGTTTTTGGGGTCCCAGGGGTATCTCTGGGTGTTTTTGGTGGTCCCAGGGGTATCTCTGGGGTCCCAGGGGTATCTCTGGTGTTTTTGGGGGTCCCAGGTGTATCTCTGGGGGTTTTTGGGGTATCTCTGGGGTTTTTGGGGTATCTCTGGGGTTTTTAGGGTCCCAGGGGTATCTCTGGGCGTTTTTGGTGGTCCCAGGGGTATCTCTGGGGTTTTTGGGGTATCTGGGTATTTCTGGGTTCCCAGGGGGTATCTCTGAGGTTTTTGGGGGTCCCAGGGGTATCTCTGGGGGTTTTGGGGTATTTCTGGGGTTTTTGGGGTCCCAGGGGTATCTCTGGGGTCCCAGGGGTATCTCTGGTGTTTTTTGGGGGTCCCAGGTGTATCTCTGGGGTCCCAGGGTGTATCTCTGGGGTTTTTGGGGGTATCTCTGGGTGTTTTTGGGGTATCTCTGAGGGTTTTTGGGGGTCCCAGGGGTATCTCTAGGGTTTTTGGGGTATCTCTGGGGTTTTTGGGGTCCCAGGGGTATCTCTGGGTGTTTTTGGGGGTCCCAGGGGTATCTCTGGGGTTTTTTGGGGTATCTCTGGGTGTTTTTGGGAGGGTACCATCATGTAGGGGTCATCGATGATGGGGGTAGAAGAAGTCCGTGGTCTGCACCAGCGAGAGCCCCCCGTGCCTCAGGGGGGATCACCACACGAGTCCAGGCCAATGCCTGCGGGCACAGGGGGCACTGAGAGAACCAGGGGGGCACAGGGGGGCACCCAGAGCTCAGGGGGGGCACAGGGTGGCACTGAGAGACCAGGGGGGCACAGGGGGGCACCAGGGGGGCACAGGGGGCACTGAGAGACCAGGGGGGGCACAGGGGGGGCACCAGGGGGGCACAGGGGGGCACAGGGGGCACTGAGAGACCAGGGGGGGCACCCAGAGCTCAGGGGGGGCACTGAGCTCATCATGGGGGGCACTGAGCGCTCGGGGGGGGCATTAAAGGGCCATCATGGGGGGCACAAGGGGGGCACAGAGCCATCAGGGGGGGCACTGAGTCTGTCCTGGGGGCACAGAGCCCCTCAGAGGGGGCACAAGGGGGGCACTGAGCCCATCATGGGGGCACTGAGCCCTCAGAGGGGCACAGGTGGGGCACCAAGGCCATCGGGGGGGGCACTGAGCACTCAGGGGGGGCACCAAGCACTTATGGGGGGCACTGAGCCCATCACGAGTGGGGCATTGGGCCCTTGGGGCAGGCACTGAACCCATCATAGGGGGTACAAGGGGGGCACAGAGCCCATCTGGGGGGCACTGAGCCCATCATAGGGGGCACAAAGGGGGCACTGAGCCCATCATAGGGGGCACAAGGGGGGCACAGAGCCCATCTGGGGGGCACTGAGCCCATCATAGGGGGCACAAAGGGGGCACTGAGCCCATCAGGGGGGCCATGACGGGGGCATTGAGCCCTCGGGGAGGGCACCGAGCCCATCATAGGGGGGCACAAGGGGGGCACCAAGGCCATCGGGGAGGCACTGAGCCCATCATGGGGGGGCACAAGGGGGGCACCAAAGCCCATCATGGGGGCACTGAGCCCATCACAGGGGGGACAAGGGGGGCACTGAGCCCCATCATGGGGGGCACTGAACCCATCATGGGGGGCATGAGAGGGGCACTGAGCCCATCGGGGGGGGCACCAATCACTTATGGGGGGCACTGAGCCCATCATGGGGGGCACCAAGCACTTATGGGGGGCACTGAGCCCATCACGAGTGGGGGCATTGGGCCCTCGGGGGTGGGCACTGAACCTATCACAGGGGGCACAAGGGGGGCACTGAGCCCATCATGGGGGCATTGAGCCCCATCACAGGGGGCAGAGGTGGGGCACCAAGGCCATCTAGGGGGGCACAGAGCCCATCATGGGGGGGCACCAAGCACTTATGGGGGGCACTGAGCCCATCATGGGGGCACAAGGGGAGCACAGAGCCCATCGGGGGGGGCACCAAGCCCTCAGAGGGAGCACTGAGCCCATCATAGGGGGCACAAGGGGAGGCACCGAGCCCATCATGGGGGGCACTGAGCCCTCAGAGGGGGCACAGGTGGGGCACCAAGGCCATCGGGGGGGCAGTGAACCCATCATGGGGGGCACAAGGGGGCACTGAGCCCATCACGGGGAGCACAAGGGGGGCACTGAGCCCATCATGGGGGCATTGAGCCCATCATAGGGGGCACACAGGGGGCACAGAGCCCATCATGGGGGGCCATGACGGGGGCATTGAGCCCCTCGGGGAGGGCACCGAGCCCATCACGGGGGGCTCGGGGAGGGCACGGAGCCCCCATGGCAGCACAGCCCCCGCCGGGGTGGGGGCACGCAGGGACGGGGGCCGATCCGGATGGGGCCGGAACGCGGATCCTGGTCGGGAGGGGGGGACCCGGACCCGGGGGGCCACGCCCCTCCCCTGTCCCCTCCCCCTCTCCCCTCCCCTCCCCTCCCCTCCCCCCCACGCCCTTTGCCCCCTCCCCGCTCTCGCCAGGTCACCTTTGCACCGTACCCCCCCCACGGGCCCGAAACACCCGGGTCTGACCCCTGAGCCCCCCAAAACCTTCAGCGCCCCCCTCACAGGGCTCCCCCAAAGCCCCTCAGTGCCCCCCGAGCCCCCCAAAGCCCACCCAGAGCCACCCTGGCTCCTCCTGAGCCCCCCCAAACCCCTCAGTGCCCCCGAGCCCCTCCTGAGCCTCCTCAAAGCCCCAAACAGCCCCAAACCCCTCAGCGCCCCCCTCCGAGGGCTCTCCCAAAGCCCCTCAGCACCCCCGAGCCCGCCCAGAGTCCCCCAAACTCCTCAGTTCCCCCCTCACAGGGCTCCCCCAAACCCCTCAGTGCCCCCGAGCCCTCCTGGCTTCTCCTGAACCCCCTGAAAGCCCCAAACAGCCCCAAACCCCTCAGCGCCCCCTCCGAGGGCTCCCCCAAACCCCTGAGAACCCTCAGTGCCCCCGAGCCCAGCCAGAGCCCTCCTGGTTCCCCATGAGCCCCCCAAACCCCTCAGCGCCCCCTCTGAGGGCTCCCCCAAAGCCCTCAGCGCCCCCGAGCCCAGCCAGAGCCCTCCTGGCTCCCCCAAGCCCCTCAGGCTCCCTCAGCCGCACCACCGGGCCCCTGCAGCCCCCCCGGGCTCTCCCCACTCTCACCCAGCGCCGGGGCCCCGCCGCTCTCCCGCTTCCTGCCCTTCCCCTCCGCCTCCTCCTCCCGGGCGCTGCCCTTCCAGTCCCGCCAGGAGCTTGAGCAGCGTCTCCTGCGGGACTTTGCAGCCTCAGCCGCGCAGTTCGCCGTAAGCCGTGAGGCGCCAGGCCGGGTCCAGCCCCAGCGCCGCGGGGGTCCCAGCGCCGCGACCCGCCCGCCACCGCCGCCATCTTGGAATGCACGGGCCCGCCGAGCGCCGCCGCTGCCGATTGGCTGCGGGCCTGCCGTCGGCCGGCGCTGATTGGGCGAGCCGTGAGGGAGGCGGGCGCGGATTGGTGGGTTTGGAGAGGGAGGAGGTGGTGCGAGTGCTGGGCGGGGGCCTCATGGGGGTGTGAGAGGTGAGGAGAGCGGCGATTGGTCTGTGGGCGAAGGAGGCGCGGCTCACCTGAGAGAGGAGGAAACAGCGCGAATCGGCGGCGGGAAGCGCGCGAGGCGAGCGCTGATTGGTCAGACTGGCCGAGAAGGCGGGGCGCCGTGCGAAAGTGCGCGGGGATTGGCCGGACCCTCTGGGGGCGGAGCCGCTCCCATTGGGTGGGCGGGGCCGCGTCGTGGCCGGAAGCGGAAGTGCTGTGCAGGTGCCACCATGGCGGCCCCGGGGGCGGCGGACGGGGGAGGCTCCGGAGACTCCGCGGGGCCCGCGACTGGTGAGGGGGCACGGGCGGGGGCGGCCGGGGGGCAGCGGGGGCCCGGGCAGGGCCGGGGGGAGCCTGCGGGGCGGGGAATCCGGCTGGGGGGTGCGGGGGGCGCTGGGGGGCTGCGGGGTGAGGGGGGCTCTGGGGGGAAGGGGCAGAGCAGGGGGGGCCGCGGGGGGATCTGGGGGGTCCGGGGGATCCCGGGGATCTGGGGGGTGCTCTGGGGGGCTGGGGGCGGTTTTGGGGAGTTCCGGGGGCGCGGGGGTGTCAGGGGGGGTGAGGGGGGCTGGGGGCGTTTTCGGAAGTCCCCGGGATCTGGGGGTGTTGGGGGGTTTGAAGGATCTGGGGGTCTGGGGGCGGTTTTGGGGGGGCCCGGGGTGATCTGGGGGCATTGGGGGGGGTTTGGGGGGCGCTCTGGGGGTCTGGGGGCGGTTTTGGGGGGCGTGGGGCAGACGTGGCAGAGGGGTCATGGTTGGGCGGGGCTTTGGGGCAGATCCGGGGGGCTGTGAGGGGTGGGGGGGGACCCCAGGTGACCCCCGTGTCCCGGTGGGTGAAGTTCCCATCCTGTAGCGCCTGGGGGGGCTCCGGGGGGCTCAGCCTGGTGTCCCCCCGCCCCTCAGTGTCCCCTCAGTGTCCCCACAGTGTGAAGCTCCCATCCTGGGGGTGCCTGGGGGGGATCAGGGGAGGTTTAGCCCGGTGTCCCCCCTGTCCCTCAGTGACCCCAGTGTCCCCCCTCAGTGTCCCTGTGTGTGAAATGCGCCAGCCTGGGCGTGCTGGGGGATCTCAGGAGGGTTTAGCCCGGTGTCCCCCTGTCCCTCAGTGACAGCCAGGTGTCCCTTTAGTGTCCCTGTGTGTGGAGTGCGCCAGCCTGGGTGTGGCTGGAGGGGATCAGGGGGGCTCAGCCCAGTGTCCCCCTGTCCCTCAGTGACAGCCCTGTGTCCCTTTAGTGTTCCTGTGTGTGAAGTGCACCAGCCTGGGCGTGCTGGGGGATCTTAGGGGGGGTTTAGCCCGGTGTCCCCCTGTCCCTCAGTGGCCCGTCCCTGTCCCCGCAGTGTCCCTGTGTGTGAAGTGCGCCAGCCTGGGCGTGCCTGGGGAGGCTCAGCTCGGTGTCCCCACCCTTCAGTGGCCTGTCCCTGTCCCCACAGTGTCCCTGTGTGTGGAGTGCGCCAGCCTGGGCGTGCCTGGGGGGTCTCAGGGGGTCTCAGCCCAATGTCCCCCTGTCCCTCAGTGACAGCCCTGTGTCCCTGCAGTGTCCTGGTCTGTGGAGTGCGCCAGCCTGGGTGTGCCTGGGGGGGATCAGGGTGTCTCAGCTGGGTGTCCCCAGCCCTCAGTGTCCCGGTGTGTGAAGTGCACCAGCCTGGGTGTGCTGGGGGATCTTAGGGGGGGTTTAGCCCGGTGTCCCCAGCCCTCGGTGGCCCATCCCTGTCCCCACAGTGTCCCTGTGTGTGCAGTGCGCCAGCCTGGGCGTGCCTGGAGGGGATTAGGGAGGCTCAGGGTGTCTCAGCCCAGTGTCCCCAGCCCTCAGTGACCTGTCCCTGTCCCCGCAGTGTCCCGGAAGGTGAAGTACGCCAGCCTGGGTGTGCTGAGGGGTCTCAGGGTGTCTCAGGGTGTCTCAGCTCTGTGTCCCCACCCTCAGTAACCTGTCCCTGTCCCCGCAGTGTCCCGGAAGGTGAAGTACGCCAGCCTGGGCGTGCTGAGGTGTCTCAGGGGATCTCAGGGGGGTCTCAGGGGTCTCAGCCCGGTGTCCCCACCCTCAGTAACCCATCCCTGTCCCCGCAGTGTCCCGGAAGGTGAAGTACGCCAGCCTGGGCATGCTGAGGGGTCTCAGGGTGTCTCAGCTCAGTGTCCCCACCCTCAGTGACCCATCCCTGTCCCCGCAGTGTCCCGGAAGGTGAAGTACGCCAGCCTGGGCGTGCTGGTGCTGCAGAACGCGTCGCTGGTGCTCAGCATCCGCTACGTGCGCACCCTGCCCGGGGAGAGGTTCCTGCCCACCACGGCCGTGGTGATGGCCGAGGCCATGAAGGGCAGCGCCTGCCTGCTGCTGCTGCTGATCCAGCACCGGGGTGAGCATGAGGGGACAGTGGGGACATTGGGGACAATGGGGACACTGGGGCTGTGCCTGCTGCTGCTGCTGATCCAGCACAGGGGTGAGCATGAGGGGACAGTGGGGACATTGGGGACAGTGGGGACACTGGGGACACTGGGACATTGGGGCTGTGCCTGCTGCTGCTGCTGATCCAGCACCGGGGTGAGCATGAGGGGACATGGGGACAATGGGGACAATGGGGACATGGCCTCTGTGCCTGCTGCTGCTGCTGATCCAGCACCGGGGTGAGAGGGGACATGGGGACAATGGGGACAATGGGGACACTGGGGCTGTGCCTGCTGCTGCTGCTGATCCAGCACCGGGGTGAGAGGGGACATGGGGACAATGGGGACAATGGGGACACTGGGGACACTGGGGACATGGTGACACTGGGGACATTGGGGCTGTGCCTGCTGCTGCTGCTCATCCAGCACAGGGGTGAGCATGAGGGGACAGGACACTGGGGACACTGGGGACAATGGGGACATTGGGGGACAATGGGGACATTGGCTCTGTGCCTGCTGCTGCTGCTCCTCCAGCACCAGGGTGAGAGGGGACATTGGGGACAGTGGGGACACTGGGGACATTGGGGACAATGGGACATTGGGGACATTGGGGATAGTGGGGACAGTGGGGCTGTGCCTGCTGCTGCTGCTGATCCAGCACAGGGGTGAGCATGAGGAGACATTGGGGACAGTGGGGACACATTGGGGACACTGGGGACATGGGCTCTGTGCCTGCTGCTGCTGCTGATCCAGCACAGGGGTGAGCTGGGGACATGGGGACATTAGGGACACTGGGAACATTGGGGACACGGGGGACATTGGGGCTGTGCCTACTGCTGCTGCTCATCCAGCACAGGGGTGAGAGGGGACATTGGGGACACTGGGGACATTGGGGACACTGGGACATTGGGGACACTGGGGACAGTGGGGACAATGGGGACATGGGCTCTGTGCCTGCTGCTGCTGCTCATCCAGCACAGGGGTGAGCATGAGGGACACTGGCGACACTGGGGACATTGGGGACACTGGGGACATGGGGACACGGGGGACATGGGGACACTGGGGACATTAGGGACAGCAGGGACAGTGGGGACTTTGGGGACACTGGGGACATTGGGAACATGAGGGCTCTGCCTATTGGTGCTCATCCAGCACAGGGGTGAGCTGGGACAGGGGGACACTGGGGACATTGGGGGACACTGGGGACATGGGGACACAGGGGCTGTGCCTGATGCTCATCCAGCACAGGGGTAGGGACACTGGGAACATTGTGGGGACACCGGGGACAGCAGGGACACTGGGGACAGTGGGGGACATCGGGGACAGCAGGGACATTGGGGGACACTGGGGACACTGGGGGACATGGTGACACAGGGGACAGTGGGGACATTGGGGGACAGTGGGGACAACAGGGACATTGGGGGACACTGGGGACATGGTGACACTGGGGACAGTGGGGACACTGGGGACATTGGGGACATGGTGACACTGGGGACATTGGGGACAGCAGGGACACTGGGGGACACTGGGGACATTGGGGACACTGGGGACAGCAGGGTCACTGGGGGCACTGGGGACATGGTGACACAGGGGACACTGGGGACAGCAGGGACACTGGGGGACACTGGGGACATGGTGACACAGGGGACACTGGGGACAGCAGGGACACTGGGGAACACTGAGGACATGGTGACACAGGGGACACTGGGGACAGCAGGGACACTGGGGGACACTGGGGACATTGGGGACACTGGGGACAGCAGGGTCACTGGGGGACACTGGGGACATGGTGACACTGGGGACAGTGGGGACATGGCGGGGCCAGGGCCACCCCTGGCACTGTGCCATCCTCAGCTCTGAGGCAAGCACAGGCTGGGGGGTGGGGACACAATGGGGACACGAGGGACCAGGAGGGGACTGGGCAGGGGTCACACGGTGGGGACACTGGGGACATTGGAGGGATGCAGTGACGAGTGGCAGGGACCCGGGGGACACGAGGGGACACGGGGGGGGTGGCAGGGACGGAGTGGCCGTGGCCACGTCCCCGTGCTGAGCCCTGTCCCCGCAGGCAGCGTCCGGCAGACGGCGGTGACGCTGCACGAGGCCGTGGTGGGACAGTTTGGGGACACGCTGCGCCTGGCTGTCCCCTCCCTCATCTACACCCTGCAGAACAACCTGCAGTACGTGGCCATCTCCAACCTGCCCGCCGCCACCTTCCAGGTGTGACACGGGGACACCACCAGGGGGAGGTGGCACCTGGGGACAGCTGGGACACGGGAACAGCTGGGACATGGGGACAGGTGGCACCTGGGGACAGCTGGGACACGGGGACAGGTGGCACATGGGAGGAGGTGGCACTCAGGGGGAGGTGGCACTCAGGGGGAGGTGGCACTCAGGGGAGGTGGCACACAGAGGCAGGTGGCACATGGGGACAGCTGGCACACAGGGAGGTGATGAGCTTGGGGACCTTGGTGACTGTCACTGTGTCCCTGTGGCCGTGTTATTGTGACAGCCACAGTGCACTTGTCACCGTGTCCCTGTGACAGTCCCCATGTCCCCATGACAGTTATGGTGTCCTTGTAACAGTCACAGTGTCCCTGCCCTTGTGACAGTCACTGTGTCCCTGTGACAGTCCCCGTGTCCATGTGACAGCCAGGGTGTCCTTGTCCTTGTGCTCCTGTGACAATCACAGTGCACTTGTCACCATGTCCCTGTGACAGTCCCCATGTCCCTGTGACAGTTATGGTGTCCCTGTGACAGTCACAGTGTCCCTGCCCTTGTGACAGTCCCCGTGTCCCTGTGACAGTTATGGTGTCCCTGTGACAGTTATGGTGTCCTTGTGACAGTCACTGTGTCCCTGTGACAGTCACGGTGTCCCTGTGCCTGTGTCCATCTGACAGCCACAGTGTCCTTGTCCTTGTGCCCTTGTGACAGTCACCCTGTCCTTGTCCCCATCTCCCTGTGACAGTCCCCATGACCCTGTGACAGTCACCACCTCCTTGTCCCCCGTGTCCCTGTGACAGTCACAGTGTCCCCATCCTCACGTCCCTGTGACAGTCACCATGTCCTTGTCCCCAAGTCCCTGTGACAGTCATGGTGTCCCTGTGCCCATGTCCCTGTGACAGTCACCCTGTCCCTGTCCTTATGCCCTTGTGACAATGTCCAGGGTCCCTGTCCCTGATGTCCCTGCTGGTGACAGTGTCTGTGTCCCTGTGTCCCTGTGCCCACACCTGTGTCTGTGTCCCCCAGGTATCCCTGTCCCCGTGTCACCCTGTCCCTGCTGTCTGACATGCCAGCTGCAGATCCTGTCCCTGTCCCCACATGTCCCTGTCCCCGCAGGTGACGTACCAGCTGAAGGTGCTGTCCCTGTCCCCAGCTGACCCTGTCCCCATGTCCCTGTCCCCGCAGGTGACGTACCAGCTGAAGGTGCTGTCCCTGTCCCCACTGACTGTCCCCATGACCCTGTCCCCATGTCCCTGTCCCCGCAGGTGACGTACCAGCTGAAGATCCTGTCCCCATGCAGTCCCCACTGACTGTCCCCATGTCCCTGTGCCTGTCCCCACAGGTGACGTACCAGCTGAAGATCCTGTTCCTGTCCCCACTGACTGTCCCCATGACCCTGTCCCCATGTCCCTGTCCCCGCAGGTGATGTACCAGCTGAAGATCCTGTCCCCATGCAGTCCCCACTGACCCTGTCCCCATGTCCCTGTCCCCCTGTCCCCGCAGGTGACGTACCAGCTGAAGATCCTGTTCCTGTCCCCACTGACTGTCCCCATGACCCTGTCCCCATGTCCCTGTCCCCACAGGTGACGTACCAGCTGAAGATCCTGTTCCTGTCCCCACTGACAGTCCCCATGACCCTGTCCCCATGTCCCTGTCCCCGCAGGTGACGTACCAGCTGAAGATCCTGACCACGGCGCTGTTCTCGGTGCTGCTGCTGGGCACGGCGCTGTCGCGGCTGCAGTGGCTGTCGCTGGCGCTGCTGTTCGCGGGGGTGGCGCTGGTGCAGGCGGAGCAGGCCCGGGCCGTGCCGGCCGCGGGGGCGCTGCCGCCGTCCGCGGGCCCCGAGGGGCCGCCCCAGAGCTACGCCGTGGGGCTGGCGGCCGTGGCCGCCTCCTGCCTGTCCTCGGGCTTCGCCGGCGTCTACTTCGAGCGGCTGCTGAAGCGCTCGGGCGGCTCCATCTGGCTGCGCAACGTGCAGCTGGGCGCCGTGGGCACGGCCGTGGGGCTGGGCGCCATGCTGGCCGCCGAGGGCCCCGCCGTGGCCGCGCTCGGCTTCTTCTACGGCTACAACGGCGCCGTGTGGGCCGTGGTGGTGAACCAGGCGGCCGGGGGGCTGCTGGTGGCCGTGGTGGTGCGCTACGCCGACAACATCCTCAAGGGCTTCGCCACGGCGCTCTCCATCCTGGCCTCCACGGCCGCCTCGGCGCACCTGTTCGGCTTCCGGCCGCGCGCGCCCTTCCTGGCCGGCACCGCCATGGTGCTCGCCGCCGTGGTGCTCTACGGGCGGCCCCGCGGCCAGGCCGCCGCCCGCGGGCAGGACCCCGGCAAGTCAGTGGGGCCCTAGGGAGGGACGGACACGGGGACGCCGCGGGGACGGAGGGAGGGACGGGACGGACGGGGCCGCGAGCGGGGCGGGGAGACCCAGGTGAGGGGTGAGCAGGTGAGGGTGCCGAGGTGAGGGGTGAGCAGGTGAGGGGTGAGAAGGTGAGGGTGCCGAGGTGAGGGGTGAGCAGGTGAGGGGTGAGCAGGTGAGGGTGCTAAGGTGAGGAGGGGACCCAGGTGAGGGGTGCGCAGGTGAGGGTGCCCAGGTGAGGGGTGAGAAGGTGAGGGGTGAGAAGGTGAGGGTGCCAAGGTGAGGAGGGGACCCAGGTGAGGGGTGAGTAGGTGACAGTGCCCAGGTGAGGGGTGAGCAGGTGAGGGTGCCAAGGTGAGGGGTGAGAAGGTGAGGGCTCAGCAGGTGGCAGGATCTCATTAGGACTCATTAGTATGGTGGAGGAGCTTGGGGGTCCTCAGGGGTCAGCAGGTGAGGGGCAACAGGTGAGGGGAGCCAGGTGAGGGGCAGCAGGTGGCAGGGCCTCATTAGAGCTCATTAGTGCTCATTAAGGCTACTTAGGCTCATTAGCCTCATGAGAGTTCATTAGAGCTCGTTGGGCTCATTAGAACTCGTTAGGCTCATTAGGGCTCATTAGTATGGTGGAGGAGCTTGGGGGTTCTCAGGGATCAACAGGTGAGGGGCAACAGGTGGCAAGGCCTCATTAGAGCTCGTTAAGATTCATTAGAGTTCATTAGAGCTCATTAGACTCATTAATCTCGTTCGTATGGTAGAGGAGCTTGGGAGTCCTCAGGGGTCAGCAGGTGAGGGGCAGCAGGTGGCAGGGCCTCATTAGGCTCATTAGAGCTCATTAAGGCTCCTTAGGCTCATTAGAGCTCATTAAGGCTCGTGGGGCTCATTAGTATGGTGGAGGAGCTTGGGGGGTCCTCAGAGGTCAGCAGGTGAGGGGCAGCAGGTGGCAGGGCCTCATTAGGCTCATTAGGGCTCATTAAGGCTCATTAACCTCATTAGACTCGTTAGGATGATGGAGGAGCTGGGGGGTCCCCAGGGTCAGCAGGGGGGACCCCGATGTTGGCCTTGTTTGGGTGGTGGGGACTCGTTAAGGCTCATTAAGGACCTGCAGAGGCTCATTAGGGGATGGGGAGCTCATTAAGGCTCATTAGGGAGCTGCAGAGGCTCGTTAGGGGATGGGGAGTTCGTTAATGCTCGTTAATTGTTGGGGGCTCATTAAGGCTCATTGAGTGCTGGGGGATGCTGAGGTGAGATTAATGAGGCTAGAGGTTAACGAGGTCAGCAGGGTTAATGAGATCAGAAGTCAATGAGGTTAATGAGGTCAGCAGGGTTAATGAGATCAGAAGTTAATGAGGTTAATGAGGTCGGCAGGGTTAACAAGGTTAATGAGGTCAGTGGGAATAATGAGGTTAATGAAGGATCTCTGGGTTAATGAGGTCAGCGGAGTTAACGAGATCAGAGGTTAATGAGGTTAATGAAGGAGCTCTGGGTTCATGAGGTCTCCGGGGTTAATGAGATCAGAGGTTAATGAGGTCAGTGGGAATAACAAGGTTAATGAAGGAGCTCTGGGTTAATGAGGTCTCCGGGGTTAATGAGATCAGAGGTTAATGAAGGAGCTCTGGGTTAATGAGGTCAGCGGGGTTAATGAGATCAGAGGTTAATGAATGAGCTCTGGGTTAATGAGGTCAGCAGGGTTAATGAGATCAGAGGTTAATGAAGGAGCTCTGGGTTAATGAGGTCTCCGGGGTTAATGAGATCAGAGGTTAATGAAGGAGCTCTGGGTTAATGAGGTCAGCAGGGTTAATGAGATCAGAGGTTAATGAAGGAGCTCTGGGTTAATGAGGTCTCCGGGGTTAATGAGATCAGAGGTTAATGAAGGAGCTCTGGGTTCATGAGGTCAGCGGGGTTAACGAGGTCAGAGGTTAATGAAGGGTTAATGAGGGGCTCATTGGGACCCCGCCCCCCGGCCGGTGGGGGAGGGGCCGGATGTACAGATTTTGTAGGGGGGAGGGGCTGGGCGCGTTTTTAACGAGCTTTGGGGCTAATAAAGGAGGATTTGGTTAAAGCGCGTGTGGGGGGCACTAACACACTAACCCGGGGGGCTGGGAGCCATAGGGGACAGCATGGGATCCATGGGGGATGGATGGGATCCATGGGGGCGGGATGGGATCCATGGGGGACAGCATGGGATCCATAGGGGACAGCATGGGATCCATGGGGGATGGATGGGATCCATAGGGGATGGATGGGATCCATGGGGGACGGATGGGATCCATGGGGGACGGATGGGATCCATGGGGGCGGGATGGGATCCATGGGGGATGGATGGGATCCATGGGGGACGGATGGGATCCATGGGATCCATGGGGGCCAAATGGGATCCATAGGGGACTGCCCAGGGCAGCATGGGATCCATGGGGGACGGATGGGATCCATGGGGGCGGGATGGGATCCATGGGGGACGGATGGGATCCATAGGGGACAAATGGGATCCATAGGGGACTGCCTGGGATCCATGGGGGACGGATGGGATCCATAGGGGACTGCCCGGGACCTATGGGATCCATGGGGGATGGATGGGATCCATAGGGGCCAAATGGGATCCATGGGGGACGGATGGGATCCATAGGGGCCAAATGGGATCCATGGGGGCGGGATGGGATCCATGGGGGCCAAATGGGATCCATGGGGGACAGCATGGGATCCATGGGGGACGGATGGGATCCATGGGGGCGGGATGGGATCCATGGGGGACGGATGGGATCCATAGGGGCCAAATGGGATCCATGGGGGACAGCATGGGATCCATGGGGGACGGATGGGATCCATGGGGGACGGATGGGATCCATAGGGGACTGCCTGGGACCTACGGGATCCATGGGGGCCAAATGGGATCCATGGGGGCCAAATGGGATCCATGGGGGACGGATGGGATCCATAGGGGACGGATGGGATCCATGGGGGACAGCCCGGGACCTATGGGATCCATAGGGGAGGGATGGGATCCATAGGGGACAAATGGGATCCATGGGGGACGGATGGGATCCATAGGGGACTGCCTGGGACCTATGGGATCCATAGGGGACGGACGGGATCCATGGGGGTGGGATGAGATCCATAGGGGCCAGATGGGATCCATAGGGGACTGCCCGGGACCTATGGGATCCGTAGGGGACAAATGGGATCCATGGGGGACAGATGGGATCCATGGGGGATGGATGGGATCCATGGGGGCCAAATGGGATCCATAGGGGCCAAATGGGATCCATGGGGCAGGATGGGATCCATGGGGGACCTATGGGATCCATGGGGGCCGGATAGGATCCATGGGGGCGGGATGGGATCCATGGGGAACGGATGGGATCCATAGGGGACTGCCCGGGACCTATGGGATCCATAGGGGACTGCCCGGGACCCATGGGATCCATAGGGGACTGCCCAGGGCGGGATGGGATCCATAGGGGCCAGATGGGATCCATAGGGGACTGCCCGGGACCTATGGGATCCGTAGGGGCCAAATGGGATCCATAGGGGACTGCCCGGGACCCATGGGATCCATAGGGGACTGCCCAGGGCGGGATGGGATCCATAGGAGCCAAATGGGATCCATAGGGGCCAAATGGGATCCATAGGGGCGGGATGGGATCCATAGGGGCCAAATGGGATCCATAGGGGCTGGATGGGATCCATAGGGGCCAAATGGGATCCATAGAGGCCAAATGGGATCCATAGGGACCCTCCCGGCTGCCACAGGAACCACCCAGGGCCATACAGAATCTATAGGGGACTGCTTGGGGCCATACAGGATCCACAGGGAACCCCCTGCACCGTGTGAGATCCATAGGAACTGCCCAGGGCCCTATAGAATCCATAAGGGACCCTCTCCCCTGGGCCACATAGGATCCATAGGGGATCCCCCCAGGGCCATATGGGATCCCCCAGGGCTCTCCCAGCCCCCTCTGGAGCTCCCTGGGCCCTATAGGATCCATAGGGGACCCCCCCCAGGGCCATATGGGATCCCCCAGGGCTCTCCCAACCCCTGCAGACCCCTCTGGAGCTCCCAGGGCCCTATAGGATCCATAGGGGACCCCCCCCCAGGGCCATATGGGATCCCACAGAGCCTCTCCCAGCCCCCTCTGGAGCTCCCCGGGCCCTATAGGATCCATAGGGGATCCCCCCAGGGCCGTATGGGATCCCCAGAGCTCTCCCAGCCCCCTATGGAGCTCCCCGGGCCCTATAGGATCCATAGGGCCTCTCAGGGTCTCTCTCTCTTGCAGGTCTCCCAGCAAGGCCAAGGGCACCTGACGGCACTGAGCGACCCCGGGCCCTATAGAGCGACCCCCCCGGGCCCTATAGAGGCTGCCTGGGGCCCTATGGGGCGCTATAGGATCCATATGGACCCTCTATAGGGCCCTGTGCCTCCCCCGGGACCCCTCAGTCCCTACAGCTGCCATATGGACCTTCCCCATCATGGGGGCTATAGGGACAGCTCCCCCCAGTCCCTATAGAGGCCCATATGGACCCTTCTCCCCAGTTCCTATAGAGGCCATATGGACCCTTCCCCCCATCCCTATAGGGGCCATATGGATCCTCCCCCCCATCCCTATAGGGGCCATATGGACCCTCCCCAGTCCCTATAGGGGCCATATGGACCCTCCCCAGTCCCTATAGGGGCCATATGGACCCTCCCGCCAGTCCCTATAGGGGCCATATGGACCCTCCCCAGTCCCTATAGGAGGACTCAATTACACTCCTGGTCCCCATAGGAGCCCTATGGCCATGCCCCCCTCCCGGAGCCTATATGGGACCCCCCCCCAGGTCCCTATAGGGGCCATAGGGCCCCCCCGCGCGGGTTTGAGGTGAATTAAGAGGATTTTGGTCAAACCTTGGCTCCGCGCCATCGCCAGGGGGCGCCACCCCCACGACGCGTCCGCGCATGCGCCGCGTGGCACCGCCCTTCGCGCTCCCATTGGCCGTCCGGGAATGATTGACAGGAACCATCGAGGCGAGGGTTTATTGGTCCCAGAGCGGCCGCGCGGCGCCACTTCCGCCCGAGAAAGGGCGGGAAACCCCCCCGGAGCGGAAGTTGGGACCATCGAGAGGCGCTTCCGGCGGGGCGGAGCGGCCCCTCCGCGCGGGGCGGAGCGGCCGCGCTCTCTGTGGTGCCCGGTCCTCCCAGGCGCTCCCAGTTCCTCCCAGTTGCTCCCAGTGGCCTGGCAGGGCTCAGCGCAGCAGCCGGGCCAGCACCCAGCAGCCCAGCGTCACCCAGTGCTGGCCCAGTTCAGCTCGGACCACTTGCGCACGGTGTAGGCCATGCCGTAGCCCTGAGGGGGCGGGAGGGCGTCAGGGCGCTCCCGAGGGTGGGTGCGACCCCCAGAACTCGGGGGGCTCCGGGGGGCTCGGGGGTCCCACCTGCTCCTCCACGGCGTCCTCGGCCTCCACATCGAACAGGGCGCCCAGGTAGGACAGGTGGAACAGGGCCAGGGCGCCCAGAGCCCCGTTCAGAGCCCGCACCCACAGCGTCTGCAGGACCCCAAAAAACCCTCAGGGACCTCAAAAACCCTCCGTATTCAGAGCCTGCACCCACAGCGTCTGCGGGACCCCAAAAACCCTCAAGGATCCCATAACCCCTGCAGGGACCTCAAAAACCCTCAGGGACCCCCAAAAACCCTCCGTGTTCAGAGCCTGCACCCACAGCATCCGCGGGACCCCGAAAATACCATCAGGGACCCCCTAAATCCCCTCTGTTCACTGCTCACACCCACAGCATCTGCAGGGACCCAAAAATACCCTCAGGGACCCCCCAAACCCTAAGCCCCCATGTTCGGCTCTCGCACCCACAGCATATGCAGAACCCCAAAAATATGAGGGACCCCCCTAAACCCCTGAGTTAGTACCCCCCAAATCCCCCATGTTCACTGCTGACACCCACAGCATCCGTGGTACCCCAAACCCCCTCAGGGAGCCCCAAGGACCCCCCAGATCCCCCTGAGTACCTGCAGGAGCCCTGAGCCCTCCCCCAAAGCCCCTCAGAGCCCCCAGACCCTCTGCCCTCCCCCTGGGCCCCCCACCCAGGGGTCCCCCAAACCCCCATGCCCCCCTTTATCACCCCCAGAGACCCCCGGTGTCCCCGGCCTCACGTCCTTGTGGCGGTGGCTGCAGCGGGGGGGGCAGCGCTTGGACAGCACGCAGGCGTCAAAGATGGCGGCCAGGCGCTGCCTCAGGGCTGTGGGGAGGGTGGGGGTCAGCGAGGGACACGCCCACGGCAGGCCACACCCACTCAGAGCCACACCCACCAGCACCCAGACACTCAGAGCCACACCCATCACTGCAGGCCACACCCCCTCATAGCCACACCCATCACTGCAGGCCACACCCCCTCCTAGCCACACCCATCAGCACCCAGACACTCAGAGCCCCCACCCATCACTGCAGGCCACACCCCCTCATAGCCACACCCATCACTGCAGGCCACACCCCCTCATAGCCACACCCACCACCCAGACTGAAACAACCCTGCCCATCACTGCAGGCCACACCCCTTCATAGACTTGCCCATAATTGCAGGCCACACCCCCTTCATAGACACACCCCAACACTGCAGGCCACACCCACTTCATAGTCCCGCCCATCATCACCCAGACCCTCAGAGCCCGCCCATCATTGCAAGCTCCACCCACACCCTGCCCATCAATGCAGGCCCTGCCCATCTGTTATAGCCCCGCCCATCACTGAAAGCCACACCTCATTCATAGCCCCACCCACCAGCACCCAGACCCATCAGAGCCCTGCCCACCATTGTAAGCCCCACCCACACCCTCATCGCCCCGCCTATCATTGCAGACTCCTCCCACACCCTCTCAGCCCTGCCAATCACTGCAGGCCCCACCCACCCCTTCATAGCCCCGCCCATCACTGCAGGCCACACCCCTTCATAGCCCCACCCATCGTCACCCAGACCCTCAGAGCCCTGCCAATCACTTCAGGCCACACCCACACCCGCATAGCCCCACCCATCAGGACAGGCTCCACCCATACCCTCATGGCCTTGCTTATTCAGTGCAGGCCTCACCCACATCCTCATAGCCACGCCCACCCCAGCGGCTCCACATAGCCCCGCCCACCACTGCAGACTCCACCCACCCCTCATAGCCCTGCCCATCATGGCAGGCACCACCCACATCTTCATAGCCATGCCCATCTCTGCAGGCTCCTCCCACACCTCATAGTCCTGCCTATCACTGCAGGCCACACCCACACCCCATAGCCACGCCCATCACTGCAGGCAACACCCCCCAATAGCCCCACCCACCAGCACCAAGACCCTCATAGCCCTGCCCATCACTGTAGACCCCACCAGCCCACTCATAGCCCCGCCCATCACTGCAGGCTCCGCCCACACCCTCATAGCTCCGCCCATCAGCACAGGCTCCACCCACCCATCATAGCCCTGCCCACCATGGCCCAATACAGCAGGCTCCACCCACACCCTTAGCCCCGCCCAGCACCAATAGGCTCCTCCCACAACACTTGAAGCCCCACCTACTCTACTCAGGCCCCGCCCACACCTCACCCTCTATCACCACACTGCAGCCCCACCCACATCCCCAACCCCACCCACCTTTAGGCCACACCCACCTTTAAACCCCACCCACTCAGCCCCTCCCACCCGGCCCCGCCCCTTAAAGGGCCAGCGCTGACCGTGCTCGGCGTAGGTGATGAGGCCCAGGGAGAGCAGCACCGCGGCCAGGTGGAAACTGAGGCCCTGCCAGGGGGGACACCACAGCTTTGGGGGGGCTTGGGGGGGCTCTAGGGGGGCTTGGGGGGTCTGGGGGCTTTGGGGGGAGTTTTTTGGGGGATCCAATGGGTTTTGGAGGGGGGTCCCAGGCTGGACTGGGGGGACTCTGGGGGCTTTTGGGGTGTCTGGGGGGAGACCATGGGAGCTTTTGGGGTGTCTGGGGGGCTTTGGGGGGCTCCATGGGGGCTTTTGGGGTGTCTAGGGGGAATTGGGGGGGGGTCCAAGGGGCTTTGAGGGAGTTTGAGGGGCTTTTTAGGGGGTCCAGGGAGCTTTTTGGGGTCCAAGGGGGCTTTTGTGGAGTGGTCTGGGGGGCTTTTTGTGGGGCCAAGGGGGCTTTGGGGGAGTCCCCTGCTGGATTTGGGGGGGGGTCCAGGGGGCTTTTAGGGGGTCCAAGAGACTTTTGTAGGGGTCTGGGAGGATTTTGGGGGGGTCCAATGGGCTTTGGGGGTGTCCATGCTGGACTGGGGGGCCAAGGGGGCTTTTGGAGAGGGGTTGGGGGACTTTAGGGGGGGTCTGGGGGCTTTTGGGGGGGTCCCTGCTGGATTGGGGGGGTCTGAGGGGCTTTTGGGGGTGTCCCAGGCTGGATTGAGAGGATCTGGGGGGCTTTGGGGGGAGCTTTTGGGGGGTCCAATGGGTTTTGGAGGGGGTCCCAGGCTGGACTGGGGGGACTCTGGGGGGCTTTTGGGGTGTCTGGGGGGCCATGGGGGCTTTAGGGGGTCTAGGGGGCATTGGGGGGGGTTCAAGGGGCTTTGAGGGAGTCTGAGGGGCTTTTTAGGGGGTCCAGGGGGCTTTTTGGGGGGCCAGGAGGACTTTGGGGGAGGTCCAGGGGGCTTTTAGGGGGTCCAAGAGACTTTTGCAGAGGTCTTGGGGGATTTCTTGGGGTCCAAGGGGGCTTTGGGGGAGTCCCTGCTGGATTGGGGGGGTCTGAGGGGCTTTTGGGGAGGCTCTGAGGGGCTTTTGGGGGTGTCCCAGGCTGGATTGAGAGGATCTGGGGGGCTTTGGGGGGAGATTTTTGGGGGGTCCAATGGGTTTTGGAGGGGGTCCCAGGCTGGACTGGGGGGACTCTGGGGGGCTTTTGGGGTGTCTGGGGTGGGCCCATGGGGGCTTTAGGGGGTCCAGGGGGCTTTTTGGGGGGCCAGGGGGACTTTGGGGGAGTCCCCTGCTGGATTTGAGGGTGGTCCAGGGGGCTTTTAGGGGGTCCAAGAGACTTTTGTAGGGGTCTGGGAGAATTTTGGGGGGTCCCTGCTGGATTGGGGGGGTCTGAGGGGCTTTTGGGGGTGTCCCAGGCTGGACTGGGGGGACTCTGGGGGCTTTTGGGGTGTCTGGGGGGAGACCATGGGAGCTTTTGGGGTGTCTGGGGGGCTTTGGGGGGGTCCATGGGGGCTTTTGGGGTGTCTAGGGGGAATTGGGGGGGGGGTCCAAGGGGCTTTGAGGGAGTCTGAGGGGCTTTTTAGGGGGTCCAGGGGGGCTTTTTGGGGTCCAAGGGGGCTTTTGTGGAGTGGTCTGGGGGGCTTTTTGTGGGGCCAAGGGGGCTTTGGGGGAGTCCCCTGCTGGATTTGGGGGGGGTCCAGGGGGCTTTTAGGGGGGTCCAAGAGACTTTTGTAGGGGTCTGGGAAGATTTTGGGGGGGTCCAAGGGGGCTTTGGGGGTGTCCATACTGGACTGGGGGGCTCAAGGGGGCTTTTGGAGAGGAGCTGGGGGACTTTAGGGGGGGTCTGGGGGCTTTTGGGGAGGGTCTGAGGGGCTTTGGGGCTGTTTTTGGGGTGGTTTTTGGGGTGTTTTGGGGTCCCTCACGTGCAGCAGGGCGCTGGGGTGGTTTTGGGCTGTTTTAGGGTATTTTGGGGTGGTTTTGGGTTGTTTAAGGTACTTTGGGATGGTTTTGGGGGTGTTTTAGGGTATTTTGGGGTGGTTTTGGGATGGTTTTTAGGATGTTTTTAGGGTATTTTGGGGTGTTTTTGGGGGTCCCTCACGTGCAGCAGGGCGCCGGGGTGGTTTTGGGGTGTTTTGGGGGTGTTTTTGGGGTCCCTCACGTGCAGCAGGGCACTGGGGTGGTTTTGGGATGGTTTTTTAGGATGTTTTTAGGATGTTTTTAGGGTATTTTGGGGTGGTTTTGGGGTGTTTTTGGGGTCCCTCACGTGCAGCAGGGTGCTGGGGTGGTTTTGGGGTGTTTTTGGGGTCCCTCACGTGCAGCAGGGCGCTGGGGTGGTTTTGGGGTGTTTTGGGGTGTTTTTGGGGTGGTTTTGGGGTCCCTCACATACAGCAGGGCGCTGGGGTGGTTTTGGGGTGTTTTTGGGGCTGTTTTAGGGTATTTTGGGGTGTTTTTGGGGTGTTTTTTGGGGTCCCTCACGTGCAGCAGGGCGCTGGGGTGGTTTTGGGATGGTTTTTAGGATGTTTTTAGGGTATTTTGGGGTGTTTTTGGGGTCCCTCACGTGCAGCAGGGCGCTGGGGTGGTTATGGGATGGTTTTTAGGATGTTTTTAGGGTGTTTTTAGGGTATTTTGGGGTGGTTTTGGGGTGTTTTTGGGGTGTTTTTGGGGTCCCTCACGTGCAGCAGGGCGCTGGCTGCGTAGGTGCCCAGCACGGCGGCGAAGGTGCCCAGGCAGCGAGCGGTCTGGAACACGTCTGTGGGGACAGCGGGATGGACACCGGTGACACCGGGGACACTGGGGACAGCGGGATGGACACCGGTGACACAGGGACACTGGGGACAGTGGGATGGGACACCAGGGACACCAGGGACACCAGGGACACCAGGGACACCGGGGACACTGGGGACACCGGGATGGGACACCGGTGACACAGGAGACACCAGGGACACCAGTGTGGGACACCAGGGACACCGGGGACATCAGGGACACCAGAGTGGGACACCGGGATGGGACACCGGGGACACCAGGATGGGACACCAGGGACACCAGGATGGGACACTGGGGACACCAGAGCGGGACACCAGTGACACCAGTACGGGACACCAAGGACACCAGTGTGGAACACCAGTGACACCAGTGTGTGGCACCAGGGACACCAGTGACATCCGTATGGTACACCAGTGACACCACTGACACCAGTCACACCAGTATGGGACACCAGTAACACCACTGACACCAGTCACACCAGTATGGGACACCAGTAACACCAGTACAGGCCCCAGGGCTCCCCAGTTCCTCCCAGTGCCCCTCCCACTGTTCCAGTCCCTCCCAGTCCCCCCCAGTCCCCCCCAGTGTCCCCCCAGTGTCCCCAGTCCCCCCCAGTGTCCCCAGTCCCCCCCAGTGTCCCCAGTCCCCCCCAGTCCCCCCAGTGTCCCCAGTCCCTCCCAGTCGTCCCCAGTGTCCCCAGTCCCCCCAGTCCCCCCCAGTGTCCCCAGTCCCCCCCAGTCCCCCCAGTCCCCCCAGTCCCCCCCAGTGTCCCCAGTCCCCCCCAGTCCCCCCAGTCCCCCCCAGTCCCTCCCAGTGTCCCCAGTCCCCCCAGTTCCCCCAGTCCCCCCAGTGTCCCCAGTCCCCCCAGTGTCCCCAGTCCCTCCCAGTCCCTCCCAGTCCCCCCCAGTCCCTCCCAGTGTCCCCAGTGCTCACAGGTGTGCAGCCAGCGGGACATGGGCAGGTTCCAGTTTGTCACCACCTCGGCCATGGAGCGCGGCAGCTCCACCCGCAGGGGCCGGGACACAGCCAGGTCCCTGGGGACACACAGGGGACAGTGTGGGACACAGGGGACAGTGTGGGACACAGGGGGGACATAGGGACACAGGGACACACAGGGACAGGGTGTGACACACAGGGACACAGGGACAGTGTGTGACACAGGGGACAGTGTGGGACACAGGGACACACAGGGACAGTGTGTGACACACAGAGACACGGGACAGTGTGGGACACACAGGGACACACAGGGACAGTGTGGGACACAGGGGACACAGGGACAGTGTGGGACACACAGGGGACACAGGGACAGTGTGGGACACACAGGGACAGTGTGACACGGGACACACAGGGACAGTGTGTGACACACGGGGACACAGGGACAGTGTGGGACACAGGGGACACAGGGACAGTGTGTGACACACGGGGACACAGGGACAGTGTGGGACACAGGGGACACAGGGACAGTGTGTGACACACAGGGACACAGGGACACACAGGGACACACAGGGACACAGGGGACAGTGTGGGACACACAGGGACAGTGTGACACGGGACACAGGGGACAGTGTGTGACACCCAGGGACACAGGGGACAGTGTGTGACACGGGGACACAGGGACAGTGTGTGACACAGGGACAGTGTGTGACACACAGGGGACACACAGGGACAGTGTGACACTCTCAGTGTCACTTGGGGTGTAGGCAGTGTCACACTAGCAGTGTCACAGTGTCACACACAGGGGTCAGTGGTCACAGGGGTCAGTGTCACAGTGTCACAGTGTCACACAGTGTCACACAGTGTCCCAGTGTCCCCGTGTCCCCGTCCCTCACCAGTGCAGGTGCTCGTGGCGCTTGCTGTGCAGTCAGTGTCAGTGTCACAGTGTCACTCAGGGGTCAGTGCCAGTGTCACAGTGTCACAGTGTCACACACAGTGTCACACACAGTGTCACACACAGTGTCACAGTGTCACAGTGTCACACAGTGTCACACAGTGTCCCAGTGTCACCCAGTGTCCCACCCTCACCAGTGCAGGTGCTCGTGGCGCTCGCTGTGCAGTGTCACACACACAGGTCAGTGTCACAGTGTCACAGTGTCACACACAGTGTCACACACAGTGTCACACAGGGTCCCAGTGTCACCCAGTGTCCCTCACCAGTGCAGGTGCTCGTGGCGCTCACTGTGCAGTGTCACACACACAGGGGTCAGTGTCACACAGGGGTCAGTGTCACACAGTGTCACCCAGTGTCACCCAGTGTCACACAGTGTCCCTCACCAGTGCAGGTGCTCGTGGCGCTCGCTGTGCACTCAGTGTCACACACAGTGTCACCCAGTGTCACCCAGTGTCACCCAGTGTCCCACCCTCACCAGTGCAGGTGCTCGTGGCGCTCGCTGTGCACTCAGTGTCAGTGTCACACACACAGGTCAGTGTCACACAGGGGTCAGTGTCAGTGTCACAGGGGTCAGTGTCAGTGTCACACAGTGTCACACCCAGTGTCACACAGTGTCCCACCCTCACCAGTGCAGGTGCTCGTGGTGCTCGCTGTGCACTCAGTGTCAGTGTCACACACTCAGTGTCACACAGTGTCACAAGGGTCAGTGTCAGTGTCACACAGTGTCACAGGGCTCAGTGTCAGTGTCACCCAGTGTCACCCAGTGTCACCCAGTGTCCCACCCTCACCAGTGCAGGTGCTCGTGGCGCTCGCTGTGCCCTGACCCTGCCAGCGTGGCCGTGGCCTCGGACAGGAAGGCCACGAAGTAATTGCTGAAGTGGAAGGAGAGGGCGCTCTCGTAGGCACGGAGCCACCTGGGGACAGGGACAGGGACAGGGGACAGGGACAGGGGGACAGGGACAGGGACAGGGACAGGGGACAGGGGACAGGGACAGGGACAGGGACAGGGACAGGGGAGAGGGACAGGGGAGAGGGACAGGGGACAAGGACGGGGACAGGGGACAGGGACAGGGGACAGGGACGGGGACACAGGATGGGGGACAGGGACAGAGGACACAGGATGGGGGACAGGGACAGGGACAGGGGACACAGGATGGGGGACAGGGGACAGGGACAGGGGAGAGGGACAGGGACAGGGGACAGGGGAGAGGGACAGGGGACAGGGGAGAGGGGACAGAGAGAGGGACAGGGACAGGGGACAGAGAGAGGGACAGGGACAGGGGACAGGGACAGGGGACAGGGACAGGGACAGGGGACAGGGACAGGGGAGAGGGACAGGGGACAGGGACAGGGGATGGGGGACAGGGACAGGGGACAGGGACAGGGACAGGGGACAGGGGGGACACAGGGGGGTTTGGGGGTTTGTGTTTGGGGGGATGTCAGGGGTTTGGGGGCACAGGGGTCGTTTTGGGGAGTTTGAGGTTTGGGGGGACATGGGGGGGTTTGGGGTTGAATGGGGGAGTTCAGAGTTTGGGGGGATTTGGGGGAGTTCAAGGTTTGGGGGGGATTTGGGGGAGTTCAAGGTTTGGGGGGGATTTTGGGGAGTTCAGGGTTTGGGGGATTGGGGGGAGTTCAGGGTTTGGGGGATTGGGGGGAGTTCAGGGTTTGGGGGGGATTTGGGGGAAAATGGGGGAGTTCAGGGTTTGGGGGAGATTTTGGGGAAACAGAGGAGTTTGGGGTTTAGGGGAGATTTGGGGGGAATTGGGGGAGTTCAGGGTTTGGGGGATTTGGGGATTGGGGGGACATGGGGGGTTTGGGGGGATTTGGGGGAGTTCAGGGTTTGGGGGCGATTTTGGGGAAACAGAGGAGTTTGGGATTTGGGGGGGATTTGGGGGATGTGGGAGGTTTTGGGGGGGATTTGGGGGATGTGGGGGGGTTTGGGGGAGATTTGGGGGATATGGGAGGTTTTTGGGGGGGATGTGGGGGGGATTTGGGAGCCAGAGAAGGGATTTGGGGGAGGGGACACCCACACTTTAGGGTGCCACCCCCATCTCCTGTCCCCTCCATGTCCCCACCCCATCCCTGACCCCCCCTGTGACCCCTGGGCTCCCCTTCCCAGGGACCCCAAATCCCCTCGGGCTCCCCCAAATCCCCTCGGGCTCCCCCAAACCCCTTCCCCATCCCTAAGGGCCCCAGTTCTGTCCCACTCCCACCCTGGGAGCCCCAAACCCCTCCTGGGACCCCCTAAATCCCCCCAAATTCCCCCAATCCCCTCCAGGCTCCCCCAAAATCCCCCCAGACCCCTCCTGGGGCCCCCAAATCCCCCCCAAATTCCCCCAAACCCCTCCAGGCCCCCCAAAATCCCCTCAAACCCCTCTTGGACACCCCAAACCCCTCCTGGGACCCCCAAATCCCCCCCAAATTCCCCCAATCCCCTCCAGGCTCCCCCAAAATCCCCCCAGACCCCTCCTGGGACCCCCCCAAATCCCCCCCAAATTCTCCCAATCTCCTCCAGGCTCCCCCAAATCGCCCCAAACCCCTCCTGGGGCCCCCAAATCCCCCCCAAACCCCCCCAATCCCCTCCAGGCTCCCCCAAACCCCTCCTGGGACTCCCAAATCCCCCCCAAATTCCCCCAATCCCCTCCAGGCTCCCCCAAACCCCTCCAGGCCCCTTCTGGGACCCCCCCCAAATCCCCCCCAAATTCCCCCAAACCCCTTCTGGGACCCCCCCAAATTCCCCCAAACCCCTCTTGGCCACCCCAAACCCCTCCAGGCCCCCCAAATCCCCCCCAAATCCCTCCTGGGACCCCCCTAAATCCCCCCCAAATGGCCCCAATCCCCTCCAGGCTCCCACAAACCCCTCCAGGCCCCCCAAAATCCCCCCAGACCCCTCCTGCACCCCCCAAATTCCTCCTGGACCCCCCAAACCCCTCTTGGCCACCCCAAACCCCTCCTGGGACCCCCCAAATCCCCCCCAAATGGCCCCAAACCCCTCCTGGGCTCCCCAAAATCCCCCCAAACCCCTCCTGGGCTCCCCCAAATCCCTCCAGGCCCCCCAAATCCCCCCAAACCCCTCCTGGGACCCCCCCAAATCCCCCCCAAATCCCCCCCAAACCCCCCAATGCCCTCACCTGGCCAAGACGCTCCTGGGCAGCACCGGGGGAACAGAAATGTCAGTGAGGGGGGGCTGGGGGTCCCCAAGGGATTTTGGGGGTCCCTGAGGAGGGTTTGGGGTCCCCCAGAGCACATTCAGGGGTCCCCACCGAGGCTCAGGGGCCCTGAGGGGTTTGGGGGCTCCTGGAAGGGTTTTGGGGTTCATGAAAGGGTTTGGGAGTTCCTGGAAGGGTTTGGGGTCCCTGAGGGGTTTTGGGGTCCCTGAGGGGTTTGGGGGCTCCTGGAAGGGGTTTGGGGTTCCTGAAAGGGTTTGGGGTCCCTGGGGGGTTTTGGGGTCCCTGAGGGGTTTTGGGGTCCCTGGGGGGGTTTGGGGTCTCCTGAAAGGGTTTTGGGGTCTCTGAGGAGTTTGGGGGCTCCTGGAAGGGTTTTGGGGTCCCTGAGGGGTTTTGGGGTCCCTGAGGGTTTTGGGGGCTCCTGGAAGGGTTTTGGGTCCCCGGGGGGATTTGGGGGTCCTGGAAGGGTTTTGGGGTCCCAGGGCAGTTTGGGGGGGATTTGGGGGGATTTCTGGGGGATTTCTGGTGGAATATGAGGGGGATTTTGGGGTGTCCTGGGGGGATTGGGGAGAATTTTAGAAGGGATTTGGGGGGATTGTGGGGGGGATTTTGGGGTGATTTTGGAGGGGATCCTGGGGGCATCTTGGGGGGATTTTGGAGAGGATTTGAGAGGAATTTTGGGTGAATTTTGGTGGAATTTAGGGGATTTTGGGAGGGGATTTTGGGGGAATTTGAGAGGGATTTTGGGTGAATTTTGGTGGAATTTGGGGGATTTTGGGAGGGGATTTTGGGGGGGTTTTGAGATGGATTTTGGGAGGATTTGAGGGAATTTGAGAAGGATTTTGGGGGAATTTTGGGAGGGATTTTGGTGGGATTTGGGGGGATTTTGGGAGAGATTTTGGGAGGGATTTGGGGGATCTTGGGAGGAATTTTTGAGTGAATTTTTGGGGTATTTTGTGGGCTATTTTGGGGGTATTTGGGGTATTTTGGGGGGTATTTTGGGGGGTATTTTGGGGATATTTTAGGGGTATTTTGGGGGTATTTTGGGGATATTTTGGGGGTATTTTGGGGGGTATTTTGGGGGTATTTTGGGGAGTATTTTGGGGAGTATTTTGGGGGTATTTCGGGGGTATTTCGGGGGGATTTTGGGGATATTTTGGGGGGATTTGGGGGGTATTTTGGGGGTATTTTGGGGGGATTTTGGGAGTATTTTGCAGGGTATTTTGGGGGGTATTTTAAGGGTATTTTGGGGGTATTTTGGGGGGTATTGGGGGGTATTTTGGGGGGGATTTTGGGGAGTATTTTGGGGGTATTTGGGGGGTATTTCGGGGGATTTTGGGGATATTTTGGGGGTATTTTGGGTGGTATTTTGGGGGGCATTTCTGGGGTATTTTGGGGGATATTTGGGGGGTATTTTGCGGGTATTTTGCGGGGCAATTTGGGGGGGTATTTTGGGAGGGGGTTTAGGGCATATTGGGGGGTATTTTGGGGGGTATTTGGGGGTTTTTTGGGGGTATTCTGGGGGTATTTTGGGGGGATTTTGGGGGGATTTTGGGGGGATTTTGATGGTATTTTGGGGGATATTTTGCGGTATTTTGGGGGGATTTTGGGGGGACTTTGATGGTATTTTGGGCGGTATTTTGGGGCGATTTTGGGGATATATTGGGGGGATATTTTGGGGTATTTTGGGGGGATTTTGGGAGTATTTGGGGGGTATTTTCGGGGTATTTTGGGGGGTATTTTGGGAGGTATTTTGGGGGGATTTTGGGGATATTTTGGGGGTATTTTGGGGGGTATTTTTGGGGTATTTTGGGGCGATTTTGGGGTCCCACCTGCGCAGGGCCCGTGCCCCATAGAGGGGCAGCAGGCTGGAGAACAGGAACGGCGCCAGGCAGGTGCTGACCAGGAGGCAGAGCAGGGCCAGGCCCAGGCTGCGCAGCCCCTTCCGTGCCCAGGCTGCGCTCTGGGGGGACAGCGGCTCAGGACAGACACACGGACAGACACGGGGACACCCCCAAATCCACTGACAGACACACGGACACGCACGGGGACACCCCAAATCCACAGGGACAGACACACGGACACGCACGGGGACACCCCGAACCCACACAGACACACAGACAGACACACGGACAGACACGGGGACACCCCGAACCCACAGGGACAGACACACGGACACGCACGGGGATACCCCCAAATCCACAGAGACAGACACACGGACAGACACAGGGACAGACACAGGGACACCCCCAAACCCCCACATGGACACCCCAAAGCCCCACATGGACACCCCCAAACCCCCACAGGCACCCCCAAATCCACAGACACACGGACACGCACAGGGACACCCCCAATCCACACAGACACACACAGGGACACCCCAAACCCACACGGACACCCTCAGACCCCCACAGACACACGGACACACACGGGGACACCCCAAACCCACACACACACACACAGGGACACCCCAAACCCCCACAGACACCCCCAAACCCACAGACACCCACAGGGACACCCCAAACCCCCACAGACACCCCCAAACCCACAGACACCCACAGGGACACCCCAAACCCCCACAGACACCCCCAAACCCACAGACACCCACAGGGACACCCCAAACCCCCACAGACACCCACAGGGACACCCCAAACCCCACAGACACCCCCAAAATCCACTGACACCCACAGGGACACCCCAAACCCCCACAGACACCCACAGGGACACCCCAAACCCACAGAGACACCCCCAAATCCACTGACACCCACAGGGACACCCCAAACCCCCACAGACACCCACAGGGACACCCCAAACCCACACAGACACCCCCAAATCCACTGACACCCACAGGGACACCCCAAACCCCACAGACACCCACAGGGACACCCCAAACCCACACAGACACCCCCAAATCCACTGACACCCACAGGGACACCCCAAACCAAATCCCCATCACTGACACCCCCAAACCCACAGGGACCCACCCCAATTCCACCCAAATCCCAATTTTTTCCCCATTATCCCCATTTTTCTCTGTTTTTTCCCTGTTTTTCCCCCACTATCCCAGTTTTTTCCCATTTTTCCCTGTTTTTCCCTATATTCCCCATTATCCCATTTTTTTCCCTGTATTTTCCCTGTTTTTCCCCCATTACCCCGTTTTTCCCCCATTATCCCCATTTTCCCTGTTTTTTCCCATTTTTCCCCCATTATCCCTGTTTTTCCCCATTTTTCTGTTTTTCCCCCATAATCTTGTTTTTCCCTGTTTTTCCCCCATTATCCCTGTTTTTCCCTGTTTTTCCCCAATTATCCTGTTTTTTCCTTGTTTTTCCCCACTATTCCCCATTATCCCCGTTTTTTCCCTGTTGTTCCCTTTTTTCCCCCATTATCCCCATTCTTCCCTTTTTTCCCCCCATTATCCCTGTTTTTCCCCATTTTTTCCCATTTTTCCCCCATTTCCCCCATTTTTCCCCCACTATCCCATTTTCCCCCATTATCCCCATTTTCCCCATTTTTTCCCTGTTTTTTCCCATTTTTCCTCCATTATCCCCGTTTTTTCCCCATTATCCCATTTTTCCCCATTATCCCCATTTCTCCCCCATTATCCCCATTTTCCCCATTTTTTCCCCATTTTCCCCATTTTCCCCCCATTATCCCCATTTTTCCCCCATTATCCCCATTTTTCTCTGTTTTTTCCCATTTTCCCCCATTTTCCCCCATTTTTCCCCATTATCCCCTACCAGGGGCCGTCCCTCCACGGCTCTCAGGCAGCTCCCAAAGGGCTCCCAGGGCCCGAACCCCACGGAGCCGGGGGAGCACAGGAACCCCCGCACCTGCCCAACCCCATTTCCCCAAATCCCCGTTTTTTTCCCATTTTTCCCCCATTATCCCATACCAGGGGCGGTCCCTCCACGGCTCTCAGGTAGGTCCCAAAGGGCTCCCAGGGCCCGAACACCACGGAGCCGGGGGAGCACAGGTACCCCCGCACCTGCCCAACCCCATTTCCCCATTTTTCCCCATTTTTCCCCATTTTCCCCATTATCCCATACCAGGGGCGGTCCCTCCACGGCTCTCAGGTAGGTCCCGAAGGGCTCCCAGGGCCCGAACACCACGGAGCCGGGGGAGCACAGGTACCCCAGCACCTGGGCGGGGCTGGGCTCGGCCCCGCCCGCCGCCCGGTCCAGGTCAAAGCCCAGCGACACGGCCTTCATGGCCACCACCATCTGCGCCCCTGCGGCACCGCCACCGCGTCAGGGGCACCCCGACAGCCGGGGGACCCCGACAGCCGGGGGGAACCCGACAGCCGGGGGGACCCCGATATCCGGGGGGGAACCCAATATCCGGGGAGGAACCCAGTATCCGGGGGGAACCCAATATCCGGGGGGAACCCAATATCCGGGGAGGAACCCAATATCCGGGGGGGAACCCAGTATCCGGGGGGGGAACCCAATATCCGGGGGGACCCCGATATCCGGAGGGAACCCAATATCCGGGGAGGAACCCAATATCCGGGGGGGAACCCAATATCCGGAGGGACCCCGATATCCGGAGGGAACCCAATATCCGGGGAGGAACCCAATATCCGGGGAGGAACCCAATATCCGGGGGGACCCCGACATTGGGCACGCCAATATCCGGGGGGGAACCCAGCATCGGGCACCCCAATATCCGGGGGGACCCCGATATCCGGGGGGGAACCCAACAATATCCGGGGGGGAACTCAATATCCGGGGGGAAACCCAATATCCGGGGGGAACCCGACATTGGGCACCCCAATATCCAGGGGGGAACCCAATATCGGGCACCCCAATATCCGGGGGGGAACCCAGCATCGGGCACCCCAACATCGGGGAAACCCCAGTATCAAGGGGGATCCCAATATCCGGGGGGACCCCAATATCCGGGGGGGAACCCAACATCGGGGGAGACCCCAATATCCGGGGGGAACCCAATATCCGGGGGGGACCCCGACATTGGGCACCCCAATATCTGGGGGGACACCAATATCCGGGGGGGAACCCAATATCCGGGGGGACCCCAATATCCGGGGGGACCCCGACAGCCGGGGGGACCCCAATATCCGGGGGGGAACACAATATCGGGCACTCCAATATCCAGGGGGGAACCCAACATCGGGGGGGACCCCAATATCCGGGGAAACCCAATATCCGGGGGGGGGAACCCAATATCCGGGGGGGAACCCAATATCCGGGGGGACCCCGACATTGGGCACGCCAATATCCGGGGGAAACCCCAAATCAGGGGGGAACCCAATGTCAGAGGGGAGCCCGACATCAAGGGGGACCCAGCATCGGGGGGGACCCAGCATCGGGGGAAACCCCAGTATCGGGGAGGACCCCAATATCCGGGGGGGAAACCCAATATCCGGGGGGACCCCGACATTGGGCACGCCAATATCCGGGGAGACCCCAATAGCCGGGGGAACCCAATATCCGGGGGGACCCCAATATCCGGGGGACCTGGGGGGGTCCTGGGGTCTCACCTCTCATCTTGTGCCACGTGACCGTGTCCACCATGTGCAGCTCCCTGGGGGAGGGGCTCCCAGTCACTCCCAGTTCAATGCCATCAACCCCCCAGTTCATCCCAGTGCCCCCAAATCCCTTCCCAGTCACTCCCAGTTCAATGCCATCAACCCCCCAGTTCATCCCAGTGCCCCCAAATCCCTTCCCAGTCACTCCCAGTTCAATGTGCCCAACCCCCAGTTCATCCCAGTGCCCCTCATGCCCCCCCAGACCCCATCCCAGTGCCCTCCCCGTGCCCCCAACCCCTCTCCCAGTGCCCTCAATCCCCTCCCAGTCCCTCCCAGTCTCTCCAGTGCCCTCCCAGTGCCCCCAGTTCCCCTCCCAGTGCCCCCAGTTCCCCTCCCAGTGTCCCCCCAGTCCCTCCTAGTGCCCCCAGTTCCCCTCCCAGTGTCCCTCCCAGTGCCCCATACCCCATGAGCAGGTAGCTGAGGCTGGCCAGGGCCAGGTAGAGCCCCCCAGACCCCGTCCCAGTGCCCCCAGTCCCTTCCCAGTGCCTCCAGTTCCCCTCCCATTGCCCCCCCCAGTGCCCTCCCAGTTCCCTTCCAGTGCCTCCAGTTCCCCTACCAGTCCCTCCCAGTCTCTCCAGTGCCCTCCCAGTGCCGTCCCAGTGCCCCCAGTCCCTCCCAGTCCCTCCCATTGCCCCCCAGTCCTTCCCAGTGCCCCCAGTTCACCTCCCAGTCCCTCCCCCAGTTCCCCTCCCAGTCCCTCCCAGTGCCCCCGGTTCCCCTCCCAGTGCCCCCAGTTCCCCTCCCAGTGCCCTCCCAGTCCCTCCCAGTGCCCCCAGACCCTGTCCCAGTCCCCCCCAGTCCCTCCCAGTCCCCCCAGTGTACCCAGCTCCCCATACCCCATGAGCAGGTAGCTGAGGGCGGCCAGGGCCAGGCAGAGGCCGCGGTGGGCGCGGGCCCGGCTCAGCAGCAGGGTGAGCACGCAGAGCCCGCTCAGCAGCGCCACCCACAGCGCCTGGGCCCCGAAGAAATGGTGCAGGGCCAGGAGCCCCCCGCCGCCGCTCCTGCGTGCTTCCCGCCCCGGGGCAGCGCTGAGAGACACGGACGGGGTCAGGGGGCACCCCCAAACCTGGTACCACCCCCAAACCCTGGGGATCCATCAACCCCAAACCCCGGGGATCCATGAACCCCGAACCGGGCAATGCCCCCAGAGCCCGGGCATCCATCAACCCCAGAGCCTGGGGATCCATGAACCCCAAACACGGGGATCCATGAACCCCAAACCCCGGGGGTCCATGAACCCCAAACTCGGGGATCCCTGAACCCCCAAACCCCGAACTGGGGCCAGGAGCCCCGCAGCTGCTGCCCCCATGTGCTTCCCGCCCCGGGGCAGCGCTGAGAGACACGGACGGGGGTCAGGGGGTGCCCCCAAACCTGGTACCACCCCCAAACCCCGGGGATCATGAACCCCGAACTGGGGCCTGGAGCCCCCCAGCCGCCGCTCCCGCGTGCTTCCCGCCCCGGGGCAGCGCTGAGAGACAGACGGGGGTCAGGGGGTGCCCCTAAACCGGGCAATGCCCCCAGAGCCCGGGCATCCATCAACCCCAAACCCCGGGCACCCCCAAACCTGGTACCACCCCCAGAGCCCGGGGATCCATCAACCCCAGAGCCTGGGGGTCCATGAACCCCAAACCCCGGGATCCCCGAACCCCAAACCCCAGGATCCATGAACCCCAAACCCAGGGCACCCCCAAACCTGGTACCACCCCCAGAGCCCGGGGATCCCCGAACCCCAAACCCCGGGAATCCCCGAACCCCAAACCGGGCAATGCCCCCAGAGCCCGGGCATTCATCAACCCCAGAGCCTGGGGATCCATGAACCCCAAACCCGGGGATCCATGAACCCCAAACCCCGGGGGTCCCCAAACCCCGGGGGTCCATGAACCCCAAACCTCGGGGATCCCTGAACCCCAAACCCCGAACTGGGGCCAGGAGCCCCGCAGCTGCTGCCCCCATGTGCTTCCCGCCCCGGGGCAGCGCTGAGAGACACGGACGGGGGTCAGGGGGTGCCCCCAAACCTGGTACCACCCCCAAACCCGGGGGATCCCTGAACCCCAAACCGGGCAATGCCCCCAGAGCCCGGGCATTCATCAACCCAGAGCCTGGGGATCCATGAACCCCAAACCCGGGGATCCATGAACCCCAAACCCCGGGTATCCCTGAACCCCAGAGCCCGGGGATCCCTGAACCCCAAACCCCAGGGATCCCTGAACCCCAAACCCCGGGGATCCCTGAACCCCAAACCCTGGGGGTCCCCGAACCCCAAACCCCGGGCACTCCCATACCTGGTACCACCCCCACCCTGAGGGTCCCTGAACCCCCAAAGCGGACGCTGCTCCTACACCCCGGGGATCCCTGAACCCAAAACCACCCCAAACCCCAGAAATCCCCTCACCTGAGAGCCCAGGGGTCCCCTCACCCAAACCTGGCAATGTCCCCACACCTGGGGGTCCCTGAACCCCAAACTGGGCACTGCCCCCACCCTGAGGGTCCCTGAACCCCAAACTGGACACTGCCCCCATCCTGGGGGTCCCTGAACCCCAAACTGGACACTGCCCCCAGACCTTGGGGGTCCCTGAACCCCAAACTGGACACTGCCCCCATCCTGGGGGTCCCTGAACCCCAAACTGGGCACTGCCCCCACCCTGAGGGTCCCTGAACCCCAAACTGGGCACTGCCCCCACCCTGAGGGTCCCTGAACCCTAAACTGGGCACTGCCCCCACCCTGAGGGTCCCTGAACCCCAAACTGGGCACTGCCCCCACCCTGAGGGTCCCCTGAACCCCAAACCGGGCACTGCCCCCAGACCTTGGGGGTCCCTGAACCCCAAACCGGACACTGCCCCCACCCTGAGGGTCCCTGAACCCCAAACTGGGCACTGCCCCCAGACCTTGGGGGTTCCCTCACCTGAAAGCCCAGGGATCCCCGAACCCCAAACCCGGCAATGCCCCCACACCCTGGGGGTTCCTGAACCCCCAAACTGTGCAGACCCCTGAACTCAAAACTCCCAGGGGTCCCTGAACCCCAAACCGGACACTGCCCCCCACACCCCGGGGGTCCCCTCCAACCTGGGGATCCCCTCACCCAAAACCGGCAATGCCCCCAAACCCCGGGGGTCTCTGAGCCTGAAACCCCGGGGGTCCCCTCAACCCAAACCCGGTAACACCCCCACACCCTGGGGGTCCCTGAACCCAAACCCAGCAACGCCCCCAAACCCCGGGGGTCCCCTCACCCCAAATTCCGGGGGTCCCCTCACCCAAACTGGGAACATCCCCACATCCCGGGGGTCCCTGAGCCCAAAACCCGAGGGTCCCCGAACCCCAAACCGGACACTGCCCCCACACCCCGGGGGTCCCCCAAACCTGAAACCCCCGGGGGTCCCTGAACCCCAAACCCCGGGGATCCCCCCCACCCAAACCCAGCAACACCCCCACATCCCAGGGTCCCCAAACCCCCAAACCAGGGTGTCCCCCCACCCAAACCCAGCAACACCCCCCACATCCCGGGGGTCCCCAAACCTGAAAACGCCAGGTGCCCTTCACCCAAAACCCGGAACACCCCCAAAACCCAGGGGTCCCCTCACCTGAAACCCTGGGAACACCCCCAGACCCCGGGGTGCCCCTCACCCAAACCCGGGAACACCCCCAGACCCTGGTGGTCCCCTCACCCAAACCGGGAACACCCCCAGACCCCTGGAACCTCCTGGACCCCCTCGGGCCCCCGGAACTCCCCAGAGCCTCGGAAGCCCCCAGAGCCCCGGTTCCCCCCCAGATCCCTGTATGTGCCCCCATCCCTCCGGCCTGCCCAGACCCCGGAACCCCCCGGAACCTCCCGGGTGTCCCCCACCCCTCCGGCCTGCCCAGGGCCCCGGTTCCCCCCGGTGTCCCCCCGTCCGGCCCCACTCACGCAGTCGGTGCAGCAGCCGCGCCCCCAGGCAGAGCAGCAAGCAGCGGCCAGAGCTGGGCCAGGCCCTGGCGCGCCGTGGGCACCACGCAGCCGGGCAGCACCTGCGCCGCGAACTCTCGCGGAGGCAGCGCCGACATCCCGACCCGAGCGGGGTTCGCTGCGTGCGAGGACCCCAAAAAAAACCCCAAAAAGACCCCAAAAAAAGCCCCAAATCCCCCCAAATCCCCCGCCCGCGCCTCGCCCGGCGCTGCCGCCCGCCCGCCTGAGGGGAAAGGGGCGGGGCCCCCGCGCCCACCAATCAGCACCCGCCGTCCCGCCCCGCGCGGCGGCGCTGACCAATCAGAGCGCAGCGCGGCAAATGGCGGCGCGCGACGGGGCGGCCGTTGCCAAGGGCGGGGCGCGGTTGCCGGGGAGCGGGGGATGCCGGGGAGGCGGGGCCTGGTTGCTAAGGGGCGGAGCTCTGTTGCTATGGGCGGGGCCTCGTTGCCGGGGATCTGACCCGTGTTGCTAGGGTCCGTCGCGTTGCTAGGGGCGGGGCCTGACCGGGTTGCTAGGGGCGGGGTTTGATGGGATGCAGCGACGGATGTTAGGGGCGTGGCCTGTTGCCAGGCAGCGCGTTGCTAGGGGCGGGGCCTGCTTGCTCACAGCGGCGCGCTATTGGCTGTTGCCAGGGCTGGTTGTCAGGGGCGGGGGCCTATCGCCATGGCAACCAGGTGCGGCGGGCTCGGCGCGGGGCAGTGTGGGGCGGTGGAGGCCCGGGCCGGCCCACAATGCCCCGCGGCATGGAGCAGTACATCGTGCTGGGCCGCATCGGGGAGGGCGCGCACGGCGTCGTGTTCAAGGCCAAGCACCGCGAGGTGGGGCCGGGGGCTGGCTCGGGGGCTCGGGGTCGGTAACGCGGCCCGGCGGGCCTCCCTGACCCCCCCCGTGTCCCCCCAGACCGGGGAGCTGGTGGCCCTCAAGAAGGTGCCGCTGCGGCGCCCCGAGGAGGGGCTGCCCCCACAGACCCTGCGCGAGATCAAAGCCCTGCGCGAGATGGAGGCGCACCCCCATGTGAGTGACCCCACATCCGGGGGCTTCCCGAGTCCCTGGTGCTCCCCCTTAGTCCCTGTTGTCCCCCCATAGTCCCTTGTGCCCCTTCCCGAGTCCTTGGTGCCCCCCGAGCTCATCTCGGTGCCCCCCCCGCAGTCCTGGTGTCCCCATACGGCTCCCCCGTGTCCCCCAGGCCGCCTGTCCCCCCAGCTCAGGGTTCCCCCTTCTCTAGGGTCCCCGTGTCCCCTTGGTGTCCCCTCCCGCAGCTGAGCCCGCTCCAATCCCGGTGTCCCCCGAGGTGTCACCGTCCCTACGTCCCCTCCAGGTGTCACTGTCCCCGGTGTCCCCCGTGTTCTCCGTGTCCCCGCCGATGTCGCTGCTGCATCTCCCATTGTTGTCCCACTGTTGTCCCCCCACTGTCCCTGCAGGTGATCCAGCTCCAATCTCGGTGTCCCCCCTGGTGTCACTGTCCCTTGTGTCCCCAGTGTTCATGATGTCCCTTGCTTGATGTCCCTACTGCTGTCCCTGCTGTCCTCCCAGGTGTCACTGTCCCAAGGTGTCACTGTCCCCCCCGCTGTCCCCTGATGTCCCCATTGCTGTCCCCACAGGTGATCCGGCTCCGTGCCGCCTTTGCCCAGGGCCCCAGGTGTCATTGTCCCAGGTGTCACTGTGTCACTGTCAGTGTCCCTGATGTCCCCATTGCTGTCCCCCGCAGGTGATCCGGCTCCGTGCCGCCTTTGCCCAGGGCCCTGCCGTGGTTCTGTCCCAGGTGTCACTGTCCCAGGTGTCACTGTCACTGTCACTGTCCCCCTGCTGTCCCCATCGCTGTCCCCGCAGGTGATCCGGCTCCGTGCTGCCTTTGCCCAGGGTCCCGCCATGGTTCTGGTGTCACTGTCATTACCCTAGGTGTCACTGTCCCAGGTGTCACTGTCACTGTCCCCATTGCTGTCCCCACAGGTGATCCGGCTCCGCGCTGCCTTTGCCCAGGGCCCCAGGTGTCACTGTCCCAGGTGTCAGTGTGTCACTGTCAGTGTCCCTGATGTCCCCATTGCTGTCCCCATTGCTGTCCCCACAGGTGATCCGGCTCCGCGCCGCCTTTGCCAGGGTCCCAGGTGTCACTGTCCCAGGTGTCACTGTCCCAGGTGTCACTGTGTCACTGTCCCTGCTGTCCCTGATGTCCCCATTGCTGTCCCCACAGGTGATCCGGCTCCGTGCCGCCTTTGCCCAGGGTCCCAAGTGTCATTGTCACTGGTGTCACTGTGTCACTGTCACTGTCCCCCGTTGCTGTCCCCACAGGTGATCCGGCTCCGTGCCGCCTTTGCCCAGGGCCCTGCCGTGGTTCTGTCCCAGGTGTCCCTGTCCCAGGTGTCACTGTGTCACTGTCAGTGTCCCTGATGTCCCCATTGCTGTCCCCACAGGTGATCCGGCTCCGCGCTGCCTTTGCCCAGGGCCCCAGGTGTCACTGTCCCAGGTGTCAGTGTGTCACTGTCAGTGTCCCTGATGTCCCCATTGCTGTCCCCATTGCTGTCCCCACAGGTGATCCGGCTCCGCGCCGCCTTTGCCCAGGGTCCCAGGTGTCACTGTCCCAGGTGTCACTGTCCCAGGTGTCACTGTGTCACTGTCCCTGCTGTCCCTGATGTCCCCATTGCTGTCCCCACAGGTGATCCGGCTCCGTGCCGCCTTTGCCCAGGGTCCCAAGTGTCATTGTCACTGGTGTCACTGTGTCACTGTCACTGTCCCCGTTGCTGTCCCCACAGGTGATCCGGCTCCGTGCCGCCTTTGCCCAGGGCCCTGCCGTGGTTCTGTCCCAGGTGTCCCTGTCCCAGGTGTCACTGTGTCACTGTCACTGTCACTGTCCCTATTGCTGTCCCCGCAGGTGATCCGGCTCCGTGCCGCCTTTGCCCAGGGCCCTGCCGTGGTTCTGTCCCAGGTGTCCCTGTCCCAGGTGTCACTGTGTCACTGTCACTGTCCCCATTGCTGTCCCCACAGGTGATCCGGCTCCGTGCCGCCTTTGCCCAGGGCCCTGCCGTGGTTCTGGCCCTGGAGCTCCTGGTTGGGGACCTGGGGGGGCTCCTGCGGGCGGCCCCGGCCCCGCTGCCCCCGGCCCGGGTGAGGGCCCTGCTGGCCATGACCCTGCGGGGGCTGGGCCACGTGCACGGCCAGCACCTCGTGCACAGGGTGAGGCACCCCAAAAATGGGAATGGGGAACCCAAAAATGGGAATGGGGAACCCAAAAATGGGGGGGCTGGGCCACGTGCACGGCCAGCACCTCGTGCACAGGGTGAGGCACCCCGAAAATGGGAATAGAGACCCCAAAAATGGGAATGGGAACCCCAAAAATGGGAATGGGGAACCCAAAAATGGGAATGGGGAACCCAAAAATGGGGGGGCTGGGCCACGTGCACGGCCAGCACCTCGTGCACAGGGTGAGGCACCCCAAAACGGGAGAGGGACCCCAAAAATGGGAATGGGGAACCCGAAAATGGGAATGGGGAACCCAAAAATGGGGGGGCTGGGCCACGTGCACGGCCAGCACCTCGTGCACAGGGTGAGGGACCCCGAAACTGGGAGAGGGACCCTGAAAATGGGAATGGAAACCCCAAAAATGGGAATGGGGACCCCGAAAATGGGAATGGGGACCCCGAAAATGGGAATGGGGACCCCGAAAATGGGAATGGGGACCCCAAAAATGGGAATGGGGAACCCAAAAATGGGGAGGGCTGGGCCACGTGCACGGCCAGCACCTCGTGCACAGGGTGAGGCACCCCAAAACGGGGAGAGGGACCCCGAAAATGGGCTGAGGGACCCCGAAAATGGGGTGAGGGACCCCAAAAATGGGGAGGGCTGGGCCACGTGCACGGCCAGCACCTCGTGCACAGGGTGAGGCACCCCAAAACGGGGAGAGGGACCCCGAAAATGGGCTGAGGGACCCCGAAAATGGGGTGAGGGACCCCAAAAACGGGGTGAGGGACCCCGAAAATGGGGTTATGGACACCAAACATGGGATAGAGGAACCCAAAAATGGGAATAGAGACCCCAAAAATGGGAATGGGGAACCCAAAAATGGGGGGGGCTCAGCCACGTTCACGGCCAGCACCTCGTGCACAGGGTGAGGCACCCCGAAACTGGGAGAGGGACCCCGAAAATGGGATAGGGAAACCCAAAAATCGGAATGGGGAACCCAAAAATGGGGTGAGGGACCCCGAAAACGGGGTGAGGGACCCTAAAAATGGGGTTATGGACACCAAAAATGGGAATGGAGACCCCAAAAATGGGGTGAGGGACCCCGAAAACGGGATAGGAGAACCCAAAAATGGGAGGGCTGGGCCACGTGCATGGCCAGCACCTCGTGCACAGGGTGAGGCACCCCGAAAATGGGAATGGAGACCCCAAAAACGGGGTGAGGGACCCTGAAAATGGGGTTATGGACACAAAAAATGGGGTGAGGGACCCCAAAAATGGGGTGAGGGACCCCGAAAATGGGATAGGGGGACCCCGAAAATGGGGTTATGGACGCCAAAAACGGGGTGAGGGGACCCTGAAAATGGGAATGGGGACCCTAAAAAACAGGGTGAGGGACCCAGAAAATGGGATAGGGGACCCCAAAAATGGGATTATGGACACCAAAAATGGGGTGAGGGACCCCAAAAATGGGGTGAGGGATCCCAAAAATGGGGTTATGGACACCAAAAATGGGGTGAGGGATCCCACAAATGGGAATGGGGACCCCAAAAATGGGGTAGGGGAACCCAAAAATGGGAATGGGAACCCCAAAAACGGGGTGAGGGACCCCAAAATTGGGAGAGGGACCCCCAAAAATATGGGGGGCATTGGGAATGGGGGGACACTGGCACCACTGGCTGTGC